TTTCATCTGCTATAAACTGTACTATTATTTCTGGTTTAGTTAAAAGCAATGGAGGCAAAGACAAATTTTTATTCAAATATGCAGCTGTCTGCTGGGGCAGATGAGTACTCTGAGATTTCCTCACTGCCTTTCCTAACTGATTGCTGTAACAGCCTCTACTTGATGAGTAAATAGTCAGCTTGTAGCAGACAAGAAAATGGAAATAGCAGGAAAAAGCACCAATGTATGAAATGTGGTTGGAGCTACTTTATTTTGTTTGGGTTTTTTTTTTTTTCCTTGACTATTTAATATGGCTAAAAAGAGAGAAAATGCCTGATGTGCTGATGTAACTGCAGTGCTGCAAACAGTAATGATGCTCACTGTCAGGCCAGGAGTGCTGGGCTGGCCTCAGGGACTACTGAAGGGAAAAGGCTGTGGAGAAGCACCAGAGAAGGGAACTAAAAGATGGATGGATGTGATTGGTGGTGTGTGGGCAGTGATTCAGGAGAGAAACTGGTGAATCCTGAAGATTTGTCAGATGCAGTCATACCATTTTATGGCTCTAGTCTGACAGGGGTAAATGCAAGAAGTGAAAGTTTGGCTGTTGTGAGGTCACCGATTTTAAGGGGTGCCCTTAGTGTGGGCAGCTGAACTGAGGTGGGAGTAAGGATGGTAAATGATCAAGGAAGGAAGGGAAAGTAGTCCATGAAAGGGAGAGCATATCTCTTTCAAGGTGGTTACCCAGCCCTGTCATTTAGCAGAGCCAGCTGGGAAAAAAGCAAGACTTTAAAAGCTACAAATGACTTGTTGAAAAGCATGTGCAGGTGGGTGGTGAATTCTTCTCACTGGCCATGAAGCACAGGGGCTGAACAGAGATCTGGGACCTGTGGTTGTCAGGCTAAGAACTGCTTTACTTTGATGCTTAGCCTAAGCTTTATTTTGAAGAATAAAAATGGCAGACAGTATCTGGCCTAGGAGAAAGAATCCATTACTTCCCACTTGACTTTTTGCTCTACTATTTTTGGATACTTTTTTAAAAGAAGTCAGAACTCTGGTTTTTGTACTGTGACACAACCCTTTAACTGTGACCACAGCACCCCTGCGGTAAAATCACATCCATGTGTCAAGAGCAGTGAGGTGAGTTCCTCATCTAACAGGAGTTCCTGAGGTCTCTCTTAAGTCTGTGGTTTCAGTTTGAAGATATTACAACATATACTGCTGCATGGTACTAGCTAAAAGAGGAGATAAGGCCTTACCAGAGTGTTAGGAAGGCTAGTGATGGGCAGCATGAAGGTAAATGTGGAATGCAGGGAATTTTTGTCTCTCATCATTCCCACAGTTTACTTTTTTAGATAAAAGTGGTTGTCCTGTTGTAGTTGTCTGCAAATAATGGTTTTGCACTTTTGTACTTAAGTATTCATGTATTGCTTATCATGCTATATATGCTTATATGCTAATACATATTATCTCACTAAAACCTGAAAATTATTCATCAGCCCATAATCACATGGCTGACTTGCACATCTGGAAAAATCATAGCCTAGGCCACAGGCAGATGATCCATTGCAACTCATTCCAGGTACAATTGTATCATTGACGTTCCCGGTAGCATCTCTTACAACACAGGAGGCTGTGGAAAGAAATGATATATTGTCATTTTGCTTCCTTGTGACATTGAAAGAATATTCTTGCCACTCTTTGACTTCTAAATTGCATACTTTTTGTACAACTGCTGCCTTAGACTCATCCCAAAGAGCAACATTTCATGTTGGGCAGGGATTTACTTTCATGTACTATGACTGAGTTTCTCATGGTGTCCGTAAGCAAATATTTGCTTATGTTACTTTTTAAATCATCAGCTACTTAACTAATAAGGATTAGCATATTTCTAAGATTAGAGACCCAGACAGAAATCAAAAATAAATTGACTAACTCAGAAGTCTTTTGTCTTTCTGTTACCACTTTAAAAATGCCAGTATTCAGAGCAAACAATTTATAATGTAAAGAGAATTTATAAAAGAAAGTGAAGAATGACTACTTCAATTTCAATTGCAGGGCAAAATTTGATCCAAATAATACAATGTCCTGAGCTGCGGCTTGAGTCAAGTATTCTGCCTTATGCATGAAGTTCAAAAACCACAGAAGTTAAGAAGACTTGCGAGTCATTTCCCAGAAAAGGGAGATCTCTGCAGGGCTTTCTTGTGGTATTGGGGTATTTGCTTACAAGTCTGTTGCTTACAGCTCTTTCTTACAATACTATTAAATACAAATGGATTTTTTTTCTTTTTTGACCAGAGAGTTATTGTATGCTTGTAATGAGAATTTAACTACATAATCCTCCAACACAGTTCATGGCTTCAGTTCAGGCCTCTTTCACTCATGCCCATTTTATTACCTCACAGCCCACTACTGTAGAACATGTAGTTGTATAGTTCCTTTGAGAAAGGCAACTGATTTCTGTCTTTGACTTATAATGTACAAAATTTGTGTGTTACCCTGTTCCTGTGATTCTCATGAGTGTTCAGTAAGAAGACAAGCAGAAGAATGTGAAATTTCAGTGTGAACCAGGAACAAAAGATCAGCAGATTGATCAGAGGTTCCTTTGATCTTTATTATGCTCATGGATACTATATGCTGGTGGTCTTTGTCACTGAATCTTATGCAAAAATGACCATACAAATTGCCTGAAGGTCCAGCTGCCAAATGGGGACTTTTGTTTCTACTGATTGCTACTTTTTTTAAACCACTGTTTTGACATGCAGTAAAATCAAAACTACTGTCTCTCTACGTAATAAATCCATGGCATGAAAAAGCAGTGAGGCTAATAATTCATTTGCATGCCAAGCTTTCAAACTTAACTCTACAAGTGAAGCAGAGGTTCTGTACTTACCTGCACATATTGCAACAGCAATGTAAGCAATTGTGGTGATCAGAATGGCCAGCATTGTTCCCTGGGGTATGGCACTTTGTGGGTCCTTAAACAAAGCAATGACACAAGAAACGCTGTGAGTTTGTGTGCTGCAGCCTGATTGCATTTGCATGCTGGCAGTTCTGCCACTGTGCTATGAAGACACCCCAGAAAGCAGATTTTTATCACTGTGACCTGAGCCAACATTTCTGGTCCCAGCATGCAGGCACAGCACAGCTCCTGTGGTGCAGCACTCCTACCCTGCACACAGGAAGGATGTTCTGCAGGAGCAGAGCTCACATTTATACCAACAGAATTGTCCTGAGGTCTGTGTTTCTTGAGCTCCAAATTCTCTTTACATTGCAATTGGCTTTATTTTAATGTTTAATGATGTAGTGGGTAAATAGTTACTGAGCTATCAGACCCTTTCAGATGACAAGATGGGACCATTTTTGGTTAATTGGCGAGACAGATGTAGTCACCCTGTACAGAATCCAGCACTTCTGTGCTTAGTTGGGTCTTCAAAACAGCTACTTTCTTTCACTGTATTGACTGAATTTAGGTAATTTAATGAGGCTGTGTTATAATGCTTACAGACTGGCTTGTAACAGTATCAGCTTTGATAATGCAATTGTAAGTAAGAGTCCAAAGATCTGTACTTTACATTTTAAAGGGATTTTTAATGCTAAATAATCTTACAATTTAGTCTGTTTTTGTTTATGCGAGGAAGAATTTATTATGAATTTTCTTCTTTAGTTGATTTAGCATGGTTCTTTTTAAATCAAAGGTTTGGTGAATGCATTTGAAGTCGCAGACTCTTGTTGCAGGGTAAAAAATCAAAATACAAATTTGGAGTTTATTGTGAAGCATACATGAGTAGCATAACTGGATTAGTAATTAATATAATTTTTTAACGAGGTAAGGATTTATGGAGCTGGAAAATAATTGTGGAGTTACTTCTGCTGCATAAGAGCCTTTGCACTCAGACCATGGTGACTCTATGCAGTTCTGATGTGCATGGTTTAGGTAATTGTTTTTGTGGAATCTTGTGGTTATCTTAAACTCTGTAACATTACAGAGGTTAAAGTTTCTTACAACTTAATGACTTTTGTGTTTTATGTTTTTAAACCATGTTTTATGTTTTTAAACCCATATATACTATGCTGTTAGCACTTTAGGGGCTCAACCCCACGGAAGTCAGTAGGAAGCCATTAGGAAGCTGTCCCTATACGTAGGCTCTGGAGTAGGACACAACTTGAGTGTGTAGTGGCTGCAGGAGCACGGACAAAGGTGTTTACAACAAATTCTAAAGAAAGTTTGATTGGTAAATTTTACACTTGTTAAACACTCCTTAGCTTGTATTTGAGATTCTGGAGAGGCTGGTTAATTTAATTAGACTTGTCTAATGCATCTAAGCATGCTCAGTGGGGAATCTGCTGCCTGGAGGACTTGATTACAGAAGTCCACTTATTGTGAGACTGAAACAACTGCAGAGATCCGACGGGGAACTGCTTCCCTAGGTCTGCTCAGACTGTTTCAAACAGCTGATGAAAGAAGTGCTGCTGCTTTGGGAGTCTGCCATGCAGACAGAGCACCATATATGGCAAAAGAATTATTTTTGTTTGATGAAAGGATGGAGGTTGTGTGAGGCTGGTGCAGTCTCACTGGGCAGAAGTACAATGGTTTTTGTTTTTTTAATTAAAAATGGAATGTCACTGACGCTATCAGTGGCTCGGTTGCTACGTATTTTCTCTCTGCTTGGCTTGAAAAGCAGTCCTCTGAAAACAAAGGAACTGAAGCATGCAGCTCAGGATGAGGAAGGGAAAGAGAATTGGCTCTCAGGGGTGGTAGGATCTGGTGAACTTGTGACTGCTGTACCAATACAGAAATAGAAGACCTTTTGTTGAATCCTTTAAGGTCTGCAAGGCAATAGATTTATAGGATAAGGCCAAATAACTTAATTTGACATGGCAGAGTTACCAAGCTGTGAGCCATGTCTTGTTGGTGACTTTTAAAAATTTATTTTTATTGGGGTTTTTTTGAGTGTTTTTGTCATGAAAACTAGAAAGCATTCAAAACTGAATCCCTGCCTTTAATTTATCCATATGTTTAGATACTGGAAATTCCATCTCAATAACTGCTACACTGCAAGAGGAGAATGGAGAACTGACATCTCCACTGATTCTTGTGAGTACAAACATGAGCTTCCCAGGTATGGTTTTTGGGAAAAACATGTTTTGAAATTATATAGCTACCCAAATCTAGCTACAGTAATTTCTGTGAATACGCATAATGCATTATGAGAGGATTTGTGAATTGATGTTTTAAAATATTAAAGCAAGTACTTAAAAGAGAGAGCTTTGCTTCCCAAATTAAGACATGATTTAGAACTGAATAGACTGTTGATTCATGATTGGTTTTCTTGTTATTTTTCCACCCTATGGCTAATATTATGAAGTTCATGAAGTACATACTTTCAGATCTCCTGAGATATTGGCTCCTGCAAGAATGCCAGTAGCAGCTGGGAAAAAAATGGCAAACACTGAAAAAAATCCTTCTCCACTTCTGAAATCTGGTCCAAAGTTTTCTGCAAATATTGATGCTGAAAATAGAGTGAGAATGAAATATAAAAACAGGATTTGATTCCAAAATTACTTAATGAAGGAGGTGAGTAAGCCAGTCTTTCACATCTGGACAACTGGGTTTGAATCTGTCTCATCACAAGCAAAGTGAATTTGATTTCCTTAGCCTGCTCCCCAGAAGGATGTGCTTGTCTGCATCTCAGAGCTACAGACCATATTGAAGTGACAGAAGTGTCACTGCAGCACTTGCTCTTAGCTCTGTAAAGTTAAAGTTTGCCTGTGCTCTACTGATGTATAAATGACTCAAGCTGCATTTTACTGTGCTGTCAGCTGCAGCAGCATAGGCAGATTCAAAATTAGAGATGAAATCCATTCCCTTTGTTTGCAAACTCACTTAAACTTGGGCAGAAGATTCTGATCTTGTGACATTTTTCAGTGGAATCCTTAGCTTACTATTAAGTCAAAAGAATGCAGACATAATTTTATGATAGATAGCAAGGTTGCTTACCTTGGTAATTAAAAAAGCCTCTTGCCTTCTTCTCAGTGTTGGTAGGAATGACCGTCCCAATAAAGAAATTTACAATGGCAATAAGGAGAACAATTAGAAGAATAACTTGAGCCTATTAATAGAAACAAAGAGATCATCCTGTTGTTTTTAACTGTTGCTGTGGGGATGGCTATATAGTAAGTTATCTCTATCTGTTCCCTATAACAGTTTATTAATTTCTATAGTTTTTGAAAATACCAGGAGTCAAGATAGCTGAATCAGCTAATGACAACAGCAGATGCTTTTTACTAAGGGAAAAATGAAATATAGAGTTGTAATTTAATTTTAGGTTAGCTTCCTTACAAGAAAAGGCAAAATGGGACAGCTAATCCATTAGTATCAAATATGAGACATTTTTATATATTTTGTTTTTTAGTTGCAGGGGGTTGTCACTTCAAAGCTTATAATATCAAATTGTTTTCTGATCTCTTTTACAAGTTGTTCTAGTCTCCATCACAGCAAAAACAAGGGTACTGTTGAACCTGATTTCTGGACCTGATTTCTGTAGCTCTATTCTACTCTCTAAAATATTTCCATTTGAATTTGCATTCTGACCTTTTCTACAGGTGAAAGAATAGTAGAAATCATTAGAGATTAAAGAATGGGTAACAAATAGAGCTCTTCTGCTGAGTAGAGCTTGAGAGAGTACAGCAATAACACCATAATTTTTTTGCTACTGTTTATTCTATGAAACTGCATTAAAAATAAGGACAAAAGGGGCACGTAGCCCAGGCTCTAAATGATGCCATGAATTATAAAAAATAATATAACGAAGCTGTCTGCAAAATCCAAACTTACTCTTTGCTTTTAAATCTATGTTCAAGGAAGAGTTTAGAGTGATTTTGCTTTCATTGAATGTAATTATTAAACTGCTATTGCTTTTAGAAAGATTAAGCATAAACTGAAACTGAGTGCTTCTGAAAATTCCATCTATTGAATAGCATTCCTCACACACTAATGCTGTAAAGCAAGTTAATATACTGTTTGCTTTTATATTCTTTTAAATGTTTACCTTTGCTTCCCATTCCATGCCAGCAACAGAGATGCCAAGAAGACACACCACAGTGATGGTCCCTATGATTCTGATGTCATTGGACTCATCTACCATCAGTGTATCACTCTCCTGAAAGTGGTTAGAAATGTTATGAGAACCAGTCTTTCTCTGCTCTACTGGTGGGATCAAGTAACAAGGTGAAATAGAAAGCAGTAAGCTGTCAAAGTTTCAGAGCTTTGTGAGACCAAGTGTTTGAATGCCATGTTCCAGCTGGCTTTTTGCAGATGGGGTTATTTGGCTAATAGGATGTCTGTTCCTATTCTGATTTTGAGATTCTTGTCAAGAAATGTATGAAATATATTCAAAAGGTAGAAGTAATGAAGAAGCACTCTGTGGCATATTTAGACAGACCAGCTTCTTCCCTGCTAAAGATCCACCTCAAGCTTTAACAAAAATATATCACTACTTATGCAAATGCATTATGTAAAACAAACACCACCATCACCACCTCCCCCCAAAAAAAGCCACACAAAACAAAACTGAGGCAATTTCATTGTATACATGAAACATCTGTATTTACCTTAAGAAGTTCTACAACTGTTTCAGCAAATCCAACTACATACATGGCAACTGCCACTGCATTCGCAAACGCGAAGATAAGTCCTATAGATCCACCAAACTCTGGGCCCAGACTTCTTGAGATAAGATAGTATGCTCCACCTGCAGACAAATGATTGTTATTTCAGCACAGCTAAACTCAGCTTTTGCTTTTGTCCCCTCCCCCCACATAACTGTTACTGGAGAAATCTGTGCTTTTAATCTCACAAATATAATCAATCTTTGCCCTGCGTTAATAGGGGACCACTGCAAAAAAGCAATGTGCTTTATACTGGTTCTGCCTTCAGGCTTTTCAGTATGCCCTTTTATTCCAGAAATCTTTTTAATGCATATTTGCATGCAAAAGTGGACCTTGTTATAATTTTTCATGATGCACGATATAGTAACACAAAGGAAGAGAGAACTTCACTTCCAAAAAGGTTCTAACTTACATGGCTCTATCCCAATGTTAACATGAAAGGTCATGTTCTGTGGTACATTGTTTAAGTCCCTGAATCATAGTGATGCAGTGAATCTTTAATGTCTTTTGCAATTAATCTATACACATTTCAATTTGCTGTTTATCCATTGGGAGAAATCGCTGCAAATATACATATTACTTCTTTGCTTATAACACAGTTATCTCAATTCCACTTATTCCTCTAATTCAAATCTGCAGATTTTTGTCTTTTTCATGAGATCATATTCACTTACCTCCTCTTACTACTCCATTAGTGCAAATGGCAGACATGGAGATACCTGTCAATGTTGTTACTACTACACTCAGAGCAATAACTATGATTCCAAGACCTGAAAGATCCGAAAAAGAAAGTATATGCAAGTGTGTTCCAGTACCTGTTCTGCTTTAGGGATGTAGTAAGAACTTTCCATTTTCCACAGGGCTTAGACCAGACCAGTTAAAACTTAAAGGCTCTGAAATGCACCAAAACTTTGTTTCACAAAATACCTGATATGGAGTGTTACAGCTGAATTATTTACCCGTCTTCCAAGGAGGGGCTGAAATTTAAGGAGTGTTAAAAAGATGTCCACTGATCTGCAACAGTCTTCAAAATGACAGGAAGAGATGTCTCATGCTCAGTTTGTTGAAGAATGTCCAACCTGGAATGCTCTGAATAGGAAAGACCGGCTGAAAGGTGAAAGAACTCCATGAAAAGTCAGAACCATCCCTTGCTCAGCAGTTGGCAGGAACATCTGAAATGTACTTCTCAGACTGAACTGAAATCCATACTTTATTAGAAGTGACAGCTCAAACACGCCTGAAATTGTGATGAGAGGAGGCTAGAATTGTTACCTTCCAGTTCCACTAGATGTGCCCTTTGGTTTATGGTCCCTCTGGTTTGTCTCATAGGAAAATAATACATAAATACCTTCTGGGGTTTGAAAGCATTAGTAACCCTAAGGTTTTTACCTCCACGGACAAACCCATTAGTTGCTATTGCAGAAGTTGACAACCCAGTAATTGAGGTTACCATCGTGGCGAGAAGAATTATGATTACTCCAAGACCTGTCAGTAACAAGAAGATAAAATATTTTACTCATGTTCCATGTTTCCTACAAATAATTCTTTCTTTAAATTGAATTTTCAGGCCAGAATCAGAGCAATAAACTCAAGAGATGGTTTGTTGACCACTTGCAGCTTGCAGAACATTTTCATGAAGTCCATGTCACGATAGTAAATTAGTCCCATCAGTCTTCAAGCAGTGATTCTTTCTGATAGGAATACCCTCTCCAGGAATTCTTATGATTTCCAAAGGATGGAGGAAATAAACAAACAGGCATCCCTTCACATGGATGCTTATATCTACCTTTATCACACATCCTGGCTGTTTAAATGAAGATATAGGCACATGAACCAGAGCTCTTGTAAAAATGCTGTTGTAATTAATCAGTTAATTAAATGTTGAATCAGAGGAAGACTGACTGTATAGGTTCACAGTGCATGAAGACAAAGAGTCTGTCAGGCAGAGGGACAAGACCTGAGTGGGAGCCTTCTACATCCTCACTTGCTAAACTATCAAATGCTGGGCTTTCCCACTCTCTGCTCTCTGCCTCTTTCCCTGCAAAAAGTAGTTTTACTCTAACACAAAACAAACACTTGAAAATAGAAATACTGCATTTTAGATGCTATTTACTTTAACAGGTGACCTGTAATGTATAGTCACAGAGAACTTAGAATATCTTTCTTTTTTTTTAGCTGATGTCACAATGATAATCAGATATCAGAATATCAGTGACAGGTGATTACTTATAGGTAACTGAGTTTCAGTGTAACACTGAAATCTGAGAATGTTTCCAGTCTTTGGCTATATGGCTGGGTTTTTTTCAACTTTGTAAAACTGCTAGAAACTATATGAGCAGGATGTGCTTTGTATGAGTTAGTCATAGAAGCTTTGGTTTGAAGTGATTTTGGAAGGTCTGTAGCTCAGCCTCCTGGTCATAGCAGAACTGCTGCCAACACAGGATTAAATCAGTGATGACCTTGGCTAGCTGGCTCTTGAAAACCTCCATGGATAAAGATCCCACAGCTTCTTTGGATTACATGTTCTAGGGCTAGACTATCTGCCCAATAAAATATGCACAAACTGCACCTCCCAAGGCACAACTGCAGCCGTTGCTGTTACATTTATGGCACTACCTAGAGGAGTTTGTCTCTATAGTTCCAGATCTCCTTTTTGTTTCAAGTCAGGTAAAGAAAAAATATAATGTTTTTCTCTCAACTTTACTGCTTTTATTCTCATTTCTATCTATGAGAAGGGAGGGAGAAAACCAGGAAAAAAAACTTAAGAATTGCAGTTTAGTGCCAAGCATGGAAGCAGTTCTTGATTTTATCTGAACTTGCTAAGGCATATGCAATATCTGTCTTGTTTCCATAGGGTACATGGGAATTCAGTGTGGAATTGGAGAATATGCATTGCTTGTAGCTGTATTTATTGGCCAGGGCTCATCCAAATTGAAACTTAGATCCTAGAATTGACATTGAGCTAGAAGCACTACAAACTTATGGATTTATCTGCTGTATTTCTACCATCTGACTTGCAGATCAGATTTCTACCATCTGACTTACAGTTCAGTTCATACTGGATGGTTATAGACATCCAGTCCCTGAATTAATGTTCTTTGCTGCTTAAATTATAGCCATGTTATCACAATCTTTTAAGATAAAGCAATGTAATGTGTGAGCCATAAATGATATTTAACATAGTGTAGGATATTTAAAGTGATTTGAGCCTCTAATAAATCATGTTTATCTTACTATAATTAGTCATGCAAGTGTTTTATGTGCACATCTGAATAAAAAAATTCCAAATTGTCATTCCTTTTGGTCAGCTACTATTGAGCAGGATGTGCTTTGAAGGATATTGTCCAACCATGCAAATTTTGTGTCTGAGAAGTGACTTTAAGAGCTGTTAACTCTTAAATTGAGTAAGTTGGACACATAATTCTCAAAGCAGTTTTAAAATTATTTGCTAAGTATATGTAAGCATCCTAAGGATACTTTTCAGGGATGTCCTATTGCATTTCACAATTCATATTGTTAACATGTATGTGATAAATAGGGTCAGATATTTTGCTAATCTGATGCAACATTTTCATGGGAAGGCTTTAATGATAATTTAAAAAAATATTTTAGCATTTAAGAAGAAAAGTGCATAAAATGAAGTGTCTCAACCAAAATAGCATTGTAATATAATATAACGTAACAAAATTTTAATATTTGGGGCCAGATTTTCAGGTAGCATAAACTTGGTTTTCCCTGCCTTTGTCTAACCATTCCATGTACAGGCACAAATACAAATTTCAGAGAGTCCCAAGATATTAGGTGGAAATAGCAGACTAGTTTTGGACCTGGAATCTTGTTAGGACCATACTGTCCTTTTTTTTTTGCCTAGCTGATGATAGCCAGAGAACCTTGCAGAATCCTATTTTTTGCCCTATAGGAGATTTTGCCCAAGACAGCCTATCAGAGTATGGAAATAATTGGGTTGTCTCTCTTTGGCCCTCTAATGATGGGGATGTAAATGGTGCTCAGATGGTGGTTTAACTGTCTCATTTAATTTCCATGTTAGGAGCAGTACCCGGTGAAATCCCTGAGCCTTGGTGATGATGAGTTTCCATCACTGTTCTCCTTAAGCAGCTTGGCTGGGGACTTAAAGCTTATTGCTTATAAGGCATTCCAAAAATGCATTGAGAAATTGTTCAAATGGAATTTGACATCTCATTTTCAAAAGTAAAAGTAACCCCCTTGCATAGCACATGCAATTTAAAAAAGCAACAGCAGAGCAATAAACTGTAAGAAAGAAGAGCCTGCTTATCAATGAGTTAAAATGGTAAAATGAAAACTGAAAGCAGAAAAGTTGTAACTGATGTTGGTGCAAATTAATGTTAAAATCTGATTAAAGTTTAGATTGAAAACCAGGCATATGGCTCCTAAGTAAGTTGTTCCAAAATGAATTACTCTTGCCTATGGCTATTCTCACACCTCAAAACAAAGTAATACTTCTTGATGATCTCAATAAGTTACTAAACTGCCCTTAAAAACTAATTTTGCATGAAACCCTAGAGCAAAGTCTTGGCAATATTAAGATGCAGAATTTTCATGGCAAGGCATATAGTTTTGAGTGCCCTGGGCTGTATGTGCTCATTTGGTATGCATCATAAAATCAGAAAGCACCCTTTTGTCAGGCACAGTGCTGGAGCCATGCATGGAGCACTGCAGAAGTAGTTAAGTTCTTCCGCTTAGTTCTAGATCTTTTATTGTTGGGCTGTTTTTTCTTTTCCTATTTGTGTCTCTGTAAGTTTGTGATTTTTTTTCTTAATAAGTGGTTGATTTGTTATTTTTTATTAAAAGCTCAGTCTTGCTCAAGTGAAACTTGAAGTTACTACTTTTTATTGGAAATGAGATTTCATGCAAAATTTTGGAGATGTTTCATTTCGCATCAATTGACAAGGACATAAATGATAGTTATGTTCAATCTGATTTTGAGTATTGACTTTTATTGAAGTCCAGTAGAGCTGACATCTCTTAATATAACTGAATATTTCCATTCTGTGAACATCCAAGCTGGACTACTTGCCATCCTGCCTTTGCTATTTTTTATAACATCTGGGTGCCAGTCAAAGATCAGGGTCCCACTGGTCTAATTGTGTGATCAGGGATCACAGAGGGAACTGCCTGGGCAGCTCAGGTTCCTGTGCTTCCCCAGAGCAGTCGCTCTGAACAGGGAGTTGCAGCACCCAGCTGTGGGATATTGCACTGTGCTGAGCTGCTCCTGCAGAGTTGGGAGCACTTCCCCCTCTCACTGGTTTCACTGAACACTCTGCAATATACTGGATGGAGGCCTCGGGGCCCAGTCTCCCAGGGATGTGGAATTTGGATTAATTAAATTGCACAATGAAGAAGCAAAGATACAGCACACAATGAAATGTACTTATTTCATTTATATGAAAGCTGTAGCAGAGTTTTTAAAACTTAGTCTTTCATAGTACACTAGTATCAAGTGCTGTTCTGTAGTTAAAAATAACAAAATCCTGATGAGATGAGACCTCCATCCAGTTCTGTTTTCATCTTGGCAGAGAAGTGTGAAGAAGTGTTGTTTATAATATGTAGGTGACAAGGTTTGGGTTTCACAGATAAGCAAAGTGTGAACTCTTAAAGGTTAACTCTGTATGCACATATTAGATATTGGCCCGAGTCATGAAGTTTACATCTGTTACAGGATCTAAATACAAATTTCACTAAAGCTCAGAAATATTCAAATGTGATGATCATATGCATAGTTAACAGATCTATGCCTCTAAGCAGTAATTTGGCTATGAGTCTGGAAAATTCCAATAGTTTGGAGGATTAATGTCTTTTTACCCTGGAAAGCATTTGAAAACATTATTTAGTTTAACATGCAAATGCACATCTCAGATTATATATTAATCATGATCATGTATAGTTTATCCTCTTTATCCCTTTCACTGTTGAAAATGATATTGAATAAGATACATACCAATTCCTGCTTGACCTACAATCCAGGAAAGACGAATAAAGAGCATCACACCCCAGATATTAAGCATGCATCTTACCTAGGTTTTAAAGAAAAATTACTGCATTAGTTCAAGGTTGAAAGTAATGTTTAAAACCAGAAGGGTGGTACAGTGCATTTCACCCCAAACATCCCTGAAGTGTGCCTCCCTCTCTTAATTCTTCAAAGACTTAAGTGTAACAGAACTGATTTTATTTTCTTTTAATTATCTTTTTAGAAATGCAGATAAGTTTCTCACCAGCACACCCTTCACCCATCCGAACTTGACAAATCCTGTTTTGTTTTCCTCGTCCTTGCTGCCTGCTGTCTCATCTCCAGCAGTGCTTTCTCCATTCGCCACTCTCTCGACTGAGCTGGTGCTCACAGCAATGTTCTGGAGGATCACACAGAAAACAAATACATTTTGTGGGCCAGGCAGAGGACACCTGGCTGCATAAGGGAGACATGATAGAAAAGAATTGCAAAGATCACATTTTACAGTCACTGGAGTAGAGAGCAACATTCTGCTCACACTAGGCATCAGCAGGTGGGCTTGCTAACAAGGAGAGGAGATGAAAGAATCACTTAAGCAGAGTAAATAAATTATTACCTGATCTGATACTACCCTGTTTTTATTGTAAGCTATTCCACATATATGTTGTTTTGACATGTTAGTAGAGTGTCTAACATAATGAGGGTCTTGTGGTTGGCCTCTGCATGCTCTTGCAAGAATTTATGAATAACACTAAGTGTAGAAATGGGGATAATTGCTAACAGTAAAAAGAGATCTGAGTGCAGCATGGTTAAATTCTGTGATGAAATCTAGTGTTTCATATTGAATAAAGTACAAACATAACTGCAGCAGCAGATGGGTAACATATTCCTGAAAACAATTAGAGAAATACCAGTGAAATATAGAAATTAAATAATCTTTTCTGTGGCTTAGCCACAGCTGGTGTCATAGTAGATAGGATTAGGAATTGCCATATTTATGGTGCAACCAGAGTAAGTAGCTCAGAATTTTAGATTGTTCACATCAGTTACAGACATAAATGTACATTTTCTCTTCAGCTCTCTTGCCCCAGAATCTTTGATGCAATTTAGCCCAATGATATGTTTCTTGTGCCTTGAATAGGAATTACTCATGGTGCTGAGATTTGTACTCATTGTAATTGTCTTTTAATTTCATTGTAATTTTAGAAGTTTTAGAATGCCTTTGACACAGTAAATCCCAACTGTGCTCACAATTGAAAAATAAGTGACTGGATAATATGTTTTGACATGGGCTAAAGTTGGTGCCTATTTCCCTGCTCGCCCGAAGAAAAGTGGGAATACAAGATCTGTTGAAAGCCTCTGACTTTGAGCTCCTTTGAGATACTTAGATAATTTTGACAATTCTTACACTGAAATAAGGGTAAGAATGTCTGTGTTTGCTCAAAATATAATAAATGATTGAAGTCAATGAAGGAAGATTAGCAGAATAATATGGCAAGCTTTTGCTACAGTGGTTAGAATTTCAAAGACAAAAAATTAAAAGGGCTTGGTCTTTGTACTTGAAACAAGTTGTTTCCTCTGTAGTTTGAATTAATTTGTCCTCTCCATGCCATTATCATAAATTATGGCCTTAAACCTTCCATAAATGCATTTTAAATTTGTGTGCTTTAGTGAATGATTGGTTTTTCCAAGCAGCTGTACCTGTGCTACTCATGCATTAAGGATGTGGAATAAAAGTGACAGAACATTTTGAAAAGTTACTAAAATAAAAACTTAACTGCTTTTAAAAAAACCCAAAAAACTAACCCAAACATTTTCCTTTCCTTGTTTCAGAATGGCTTAGTCTTCATCTCTCCTGGGGCTAAAGATGATGAACTCATCAAAACTCCATAACAAGTGTGGAGAATAGCCAAGAGGAAGAAAGGTTAGATTATTTCTTATGTAGGGTAAATATTAAGCCCAAGTAATTATCACCAGCCATCAGCTGTGAAATAGCACTTAGACTATTTTTTAGGGATTTAATTGGCTTAATGTTTGCAAAAACTGACACGTCTTGCTAAAAGATGACACACATTTGACTCCAGCAGTGTGGAAGCTAGATATTTGAAGTTCCATTCAGCCTGTCTTACATTCTGACATTTCAAAAATTACATATTAAATATGTATTCAATATTAATATTTATCTTCTGATGTTAAGCCCAGTATCAAAGCACAATGGGAATGCTTATGTGATGTTTAGCAATCTGAAGTCAAACATATGCCACATCTTATCAGAATCTTGCAATGGGTTCTGACAGAACAGTTGTCTTCAAAAACTTGAGTTTCAAAGCTGGGGCAAGGGGGTTGGGATTGCCTTGGGGTATGGTGTGGTAAACCCAGATTTTAGTGGCTAAGTCAAAAAGGAATAAAGCATCTGCTTCAGAAGTGCACCTTGGGCTATTACTGTGACTCCTGTCCACGCTCAGTGCAGCTTCTCCTCCCCTCCCTGCCGGGGGCTGGAGCCCCATCCCAGGCACACACAGCCTGTGCCTCCTGAGAGGAGCTCTGCCTTCTCAGACATCTCCATTCCCTTCCCTACTAAGCTCCTATTTGGTGACCTCGTGTTTGTTTATTCTCCAGCCAAAGCTCTGCAGACAGAAGTGATTTGTCCAAGGTCAGCAAGTGAGATCATGGGACAGGCAGGAATGGGCTCCAGCCATGCTAATGGGGCATGGTTTGTTCCAGAGCTGTGGTTGTGCTCCCAGACCAGGGCCACAACCCACAAAGGGGCACAGCAGGTTGCCAGTGTAACAAAAATCCCATTACCTATGACATTCACCTTCCTTTTTTGAAAGGCATGAGATTATCTTTCTGTAAGATGGATACTGGAAAAAGTCTGGAAATCTTGAAGTTAGATTATGCTTTTTTCTCTTTTTTCTAACAGTCCAAACATGTGAAACAATTTTCTCTTCATTTTACTCTGTGATGTAATCTGCCTTCTTTTTAATCATCTTTAAGTGAAAGCCTTAAAAAAAAACCCTAAAAAATATATTTTGTTTAAAATATGCAAGCCATTGAGAGATAAAACAGTAAAAAAACCCAGAATTTTCTGGTTACCATCAAAACTGGAAATCTTTTAATGTGCTGATGTTCAGTACATGTTCATTCAGCATTATGCTCAAAGCTGAGATGCAGTTTTACTCCTTTCTGGCCACTACTGAAATAAATTATTTCTATAAGAGGATATTTCTTCTGAGCATGGAAATGTGTTTAGTCCTTTGAGTAGCAGTTTGTACATCTACAAATGAGTAGGGGTAGTAAATTATTATGTTTCCCTTTTCACATCTGCTTTGTTTTCATCTTTGGAAATGTTTGTCCTTTTAAGCCATTTTACACAGGCCTATGGAGAGCTTAATTTAAATAAAGCTTAATAAAAGTCAGGCCAAAACTAGGAAGCTGCCCTAATAAAATCCTAAAGAATCAACTCCTAATTGACTAAAGGCTATATTTTTTTCTTCATTTCATTACTTTATATTAACCCTCCATAGGAAAGAGGAATTGCCAGAGAACAGAAATCTGAACAAGATCTGGACAAACCTTAAAAAATCAGAAGCTTGTCCAAATTATTCAGACCTCAGAAGTAGGAAGAACTGAGCAGAATAGGGGTGAGAGCTTATTTTCTCTCAAGTTTTCTCATTTCACAATTGTCTAACTCAAAAAAAGAATGGGAGGTTTTGCTGCATATTGACACTTTTAGTCTCAATTTAACTATAGCAATGATATTTCTCTTTCCAGCCATGCCCTGATAAGTCCGTATTAACCTCAAATTTGTTTATTGAATATGCACCTGAGAAGTGTTGTCTGCTATCCCTCAACACCCTTGTTCTTGATTCTTTCTTGCTGTTTGGGTTTGTTACAGCAACAAGCAGGTAGTGCTCTGGACATCTGATTAACTGAACTTGCATTTGTTTCACATATGTTTTTTTAATAATACTTATATTGGTTAATGAGTAAAATGGAGGAATCTTGTAAAAATTAGTATGCATTGATGTAAAATTCAAGTTTAGAATGTGTGAGTTGTGTAGTTTGGTTAAAGTATGAATTGACATTCACCATCTGCCATCCTAACTCTTATGTGAAACAGAAGAGATTTGGTAGATCCATACTTTTAGACAAGATTAAGTTATGTTTTTCTGCTTATCAAGTACATTGCAATTTCCTTTTAATAAAAATCTTTGAGCAGGGTACAGAGCAGACAAGAAACTGCATCTACCAAAGGAAATATGGTAAGTAGTTACTTGTACTTCTTCTCTTGGGCAAGGTCCGTGAATTTAAGGACTTTCTCTTAATAAACAGAATTAACAGTCTGGAAATGGAATAGAGAAAAATTATATTTTTCCTTTTCACTTACCTTTGCCAGTTGTTCATGAATTTCTAATAAGCTTGGTCTGCTGAGCTTATTTCCACTGATGCTGCCAGTGTTTCTATAATAATCAATTTTGGGAACTGGGTCCATTGTGTTATGGCCAAAAGTTTGTAGATAATACATTTTACTGTGAGTGTCATAGGGATGTAAGCTAGCTTCTGTTTTCTCCCCATTTTGCCGGAAATTGTCGTATAATTCTCTTTTTCCTGGTCTGTAACTGATTCTTAGTCTGTTATGTGTTTCATCAGTAAAAGATGTTTCTTCATAATGTGGCGGGTCAGAGCCTACATCCTCTTGGGTTGTTTCATTGTTGTCATGGTCTTCATTAATTATGTTAACTTGAAACCGATTTGCATTTGGATCCAAGAATACATTTGGTGCATTGTTCATTGACATCTTCAGGGATGCTACAGACTTGGGTCACTGATCCGTGTACTCTTCTGTGGCTGCAGCCACGCAGATGCAGACACAGCAAAGGGTTTAGTGCTGTTGCATATCAGACCTTTGCTTCTCAAGTAATGAAGGGCTGAGAATTTTCTCTTGAATTTCTAAGCAGTCTTCCTGATGTTGGCTGCCGGCTTACTGCTATAAAAGATATAAATAAACTATTTCTATTATCTTGCATGGTTAGATAAGTTTTCCACCACAAGCTCTCCCCTCTCTCCTGCCTCGCCAATTATCCATGGGACTGTCATCCTATGACTTGTTGAGCTGAAGAAAAGACAGAGCTTGTGGAGATGTTCCATCTGTGATGGATGCACTTGACACCCTAACCAAACCAGCAGTATTTTGGTAAAAGCTCCAGAGGAGGATAAGGCCTGAGCTGTTAAATGGGCCAAGGACTCCTCTAGCTTCAATCTGTTTTATGAAAACCCACAGAAGATCAGGGTGACATGGCGAGTATCCATGTACACAAGCTTGGAACATGATCATGCAATTAACACATGGATAGCATGGGGCTCACTCCTCTGTAGCCTGCTCCCTCAATCCCTTCCAGGAGAGTTGCTCCCTGTACAGTACAGATGTTAAATCTGTTTGAAGTACAGGATTAGTATTTGTCCTTTTTGAAGTACAGGATTAGTATTTGTCCTTGTTGAATGTCATGAGATTCCTGCTGGCCTGTCTAGGTCCCCCTGAGTGGCAGCCCATAGAGAAGTGAACACTCAGCTGTATAATCTTCTTCTCACCTCCTCTTTCCCACACAGATCTCCTCAAAGAAAACACACAAGAAAACAAAAATGCCAAGAGAAGAGGGGTACGTATATTTAAGGCCTTTTGTGGGTTAAGTACCTTTGCAGCAATTTAAAGTGCGGCTTAGAAAGCCCTGAAGCTCTTGAAATGATGGCAATCATTTGTCTTGAAACATATTTCTAAGGAGATTAGGAAATGTGGTTGTATAGACTTGTATAATTCAGTAGTAGCCCAGCTTGTTCAAAGGCACTAAACCAGAGCATGCTCAGACATTGAAACTCTGCAAGCATTTGTAAAAGCAGAAAATTTTAGAAACAAAATATTTCTTATAAACAAATATATGAAAATCTAGGAAAATAAGCTCATTACAGACATGTTTTAAAAGTTCCATATTTTTGCAGGAGGTTGGACTAGATGAACCCCTAAGATTTTTTCAATTTAAATGTCTCAATGATTTGGTCCTTTGACACTGAAAGATAAAACATGGCATCAATATTTATAGTTCAGCAATGTAAATTTTCTCTAAAATCACATATCCAAATTATAATTTGAAGAACTGGTAATCAGATATCTTCCATCTTCAGTATGAGTTACAGCTGAAGCATATTTTCTTATTTCTTCCATCAGCTATAGGTAATACTCTGCTGTCACCTCTCTGCTAAGACACCTCTTTGTCACTCTGCATCTTTATGTTAGTTTTCCTGCTTAATGTTGTATAAGACTCATAGCAACATATTACATTTATTTAGTTCATTTTACCTCTACTGGCTATTATTATTGTTATTATTATTATTGCACATTTATGATCATAGTATTTTGCTTCCTTCAGCCTTTTAAAGTTACAAAGAAGTGTTTCATCTTCAGGCCAGAAGAAGCAAAGACAAATCTTCTGTCATTGAGGTCAGTGAAATTATGTTTGTTTCCATCTCCATGAGTGACTGAAATCCTGATTTTTTGATGATTATGAAATGTTTGCTACCAAGTAAAATGATTCTGTCATTTCACGCTCCTATTTCCATATTAGTGTTTTGCTAGGAAAAGTAAAATCTCTTACCTTTCTGCTGTTCTTGAAAATAATACTTAGGTTTTCACAATATATTTTCAGAGAGCTCTGAACTGTTATTTGCCATTAACTTTGTGTTTAGTTTTCCAGCATTATGCATATATAATCAAGTCTACCTTATTCAGGGTAATTTAACTTACCACTCAATCCTGTGTTTTTGGAAGGACAATCTGCCTCTTTTATTTATGCATATAGTGTGACCCTCTCTTTGAGGCATTACAGACTTTGCCTTATTGGCCAGATTTTTCTCCTGTTTAATATACTGAGTAGACCATCCAATCCCTCTCTTTCAAAACATTTCTAGATGGTGATTTAGAAAGGCATTCTAGCTTGTTAACGTTTAACCAGCAAATGTACCTATCCATTACAATTACTGGGTTTATGGCATTGTGAAATTTCTAAGGGGGCCTGAAAATACTTTTGTTATCTCCATTTCCCTCCCTGCTATGCCTGATTCTGCACAGATCATACTCTCTCTATCTTTCAGTTCTGCATATATAGTCATGAAGATAACAAGAGTTCAGGACAGGATCTGCTGAGTGCATTTTATACAGAAGATTCAGTGAAGTCAGTGGGATCATTCTTTTGGGGTGGGGGGGGTGTCTTCTTGTCCTACATGCAGTTTTAAACAATTTATTCCTGCCCCTATTTAAAGTTTTACTCTGTATATTTAATAAGCCTTTGAAAACTTATTTTCTCTGTATTGTTTCTGGGAAGGCTGACTTCCTAGTCTTTTTGTGGTGAAGAAAAGAGCAGGCAGGAAATGATGAAGCTTTGTAATTAGAAGGGAATTAGATAATTTGCTTCCAGCAATAGATTAGGTCAAAACCAAAAATAATGAGACAATATTGGGGTTCTTTGGATATGTTTGCAGTGTTTGCTGTGTGGTTTAGAGATAACTATATTTAACCCAGATAACTTAAGTACCTTCACCACTCTAACCTGACAGCCCAAAGCTCAGCTGTGCTGATTAGATGTACATAAAAGAAATGGCCGTGTCAGGTCTCTGCAGTGGATGATCCTATCCAGCAATAACAGGTCACATGAATCATCGTACTGATATCTACCTTGAATTTTATGGCTAAATTAACTAGGATAAATGCAATATACTGAATCACTGAGGGTCTGGAATTTTTTCTTATGTCTAATCTGAAGCAGTTGAAAGCCTTTACATTCACAAAATTTTTTATGTTTTATGATTTAAATGGACCAGTGTAGATTAATATTGGCTGTTGATTTCTTGTATTTTTCAGACAGGAGATTAATGTCTTTCTCTGTACAATAGAGTATTTTACTTGAGGTCTGCTGTTTCACTGTCTGCCTCTGCCTAGCATATAGGGCAAAAAGAATAACATGTTTTTTTCAGAATACAGGACAAAGAAAACAACTGCTGTAACTGATCTCCTTGTCTTAGCTCCTCACTGCAAACAGATCTGTTTAGCAAAAGTGACAGTGCCTAAAATTCTAATGCCAGTCTTCTTAAAAACGGAATTGAATTTCTGTCAAGTACTGTCACACTTGCTAAACAGCTGTGTGTATGAGGGTGACCTTGAATATCCAGACTTGAATCTCTGCTTTCGCTCTTCCACTTCTGCTTTGATAGGTTCTCCCATGATCAGTTCATCAGTGACAGTCCAGATCATACACTGCACAACTGCAGGAGCACAAGCAGAAGAATCAGCTGTGGAGAGTGATGGAGTGTACAGAGCTCTGGAGCCCATCCCTCCTTGAGGACTGGGTAAAAATGGGTAACCAGCATGATTGTGTCTGCTGTGGCCTTGCCAGGCTGGTGTAATTACTGCTAGGAGCTGTTAAGCAGACAGCTTAAGTTCCACTTTAAAGTGAATAATCTTCTGTAAGCAAGTGGAATAAAAACATGGACACACACCTCCTGCAGGCACCTCCTCTAAGCCACAACCATTTGTTGTCCTCTACTTTTGCATCCTTAGTGTACAAGTACATACACTGAGTTTCAGAAAATTGAGTTGGATGAGGAGGGCAGGGGGCTACCACTTAAACATTCACCATTCATGAGCCTGTCTTTTTCTTCAGCCTGTCATGAGACACAGTAGACATGAGATCCTCCTCTGAAGAGTGAGATATCATCTGATCCTTAAAATACTGGCCATGGTACCTTTCTAGTGATACTTTGTGTATTTGTTTGCTTGTAGCCATTTCTTATCTACCATTCTGCTGTTCATCAAATAAAAGCAACATGAAGTACCTTTTGGGTTTGCAACAAATATTTATTTAACAAAATGGATGCCACCAACATATCTCCAAAATGCAGGTATGTATAACAAATGTAACAACAGTTGGTTTCCAAAATGAAATCAACATCAAATTTAAGGCAGGATATTCTGTGAGTTTTCATGCAAGAGCATATTCAAATGTTCCTTTATCCAACCCCTCAACTTCATCTTCCCACGTGGAAGAAGGCATACTGCTGTAGGGGTCTAGCAAGATTTTGAAGCATCTGATAATTAGAAGTCCCAAGAAAACACACAAAATCCCCACAAAGGCAAAGCCAGTTTTTTGTTCTAAAGTCAGAGGGAAGGCAGACATTTCGTTGACACTCATACTGGCTGAAGTGTTGCTGCAGTAATTACTGCTCATCATTGGGCGTCACATCCTGGTGGCTCTGAGGGATTTTCACCTCTACTGCTTCTTTGCCTGCATAGAAATGTCAAATCAATGTGGTTAGCTCTAAATGGGGTGCATATATCTGAGCTGTAACATACGAACATTTGAAAATGAAAACCAGCTTGGATTTTGGAAGTTTCCTGTTGTTTTTTCACGTTTAAATTAATGTGATAAATGGCAACTATTAGCCTCTACACACCATTCACTTACTGGCCTCTGTTTTGAGACAGCTAACTCACAATTTTCTGGCTTTCTGTCTCCTCAAACCAGAAATTTCAGTTGTTGCAAACAGCATTTTGTCAGACTGGGCACAAGTCTACAGATCATGATTTGGTAATGCTCTCTAAGGTCTCAATATGCAGAAACGCAGTATGTTTCCTGAAGTAGCTTGACATCTCTGTGCTTAAACTACTTAAACTTGCATTGACCTCAAAGGCAATTTCAGCTAAATAATGTGGATTTTACTCATTTGATTTAGCTCAGAGCCTACCTAAATAGATCCAACTTGTAAAATAAAAGATTGTGTGTGCAATTTTACTGAAGTCTTGGGCTCCAGTTTCAGAAAAAAATGCTGGGTGTATTTTGAGCTTTGTAAGAAAGTGAGCAGACAGCTTTCTCTGTACTCATCCACTCTTGTGTATGAGCAAAGATTGATGGCAGAAGAGATAACAGAATTAAATTCCTTTCCCATAAATCTTGCTCTCATTTCTTTCTTCTCCTTGGTCTTCCCCATACATACCCTGCCATTTTCACAGGCACAGTAAACAGGAGATCTGCCTGTGCTCCTCGAGTTGCTCAGGGACTGACCCTGATGTGTGTCCTAGGGAAGCAGGATGCTCAAGCAGCTCCACCCTACTGCTGCCACCAGGAGAGCTCTGCATGTTTCCAGAAAGGAGAAACTTATTGTATTTGTCTTTTTAAGGAGATCTTACCTATAGATTTTAGTTGGGGGTGGGGATCATTTGCTTTATGTTAGGTTTTCCATCAAATATTTGAATCACATCTTTCTTTTGTATCTATAGACAGTGGGAGAATTGGAAGGCTGTGACATCAAAAGTGCCAAAGGACAAAGACATTTTTATTGTAAGATTAGAACCTGAGGTTTTCTGGCTCTTGCTAACACCTATTTAATGAATGTGCCTCAGGGGAAACTCTTTCTGTTAACAATTCAACCTCTTTTTCCCCAGGGAATTGCTAGTATCCATTTATTTCTTGGCAGAGTAATTAGGCCACTCAGAGCTCAGTGCTGCCATGGCTACACTGCTTCAGGTACCTGCACTGCTCAGCCAGGTTAAAGGGAGTTCCAGTATCTGTACTCTGTACTGCAGCCATGGCTGAGAGGAACCATACTCTGAGTAAGCCTACAAGTAAAAACAACAGAAAAAGTAAAAATAACTTTTGGTATTCCCAAGCAGACAGAAATTGACAGAACTTTTATCTTGTTTGGTGTCTCTCATTTCAAAATTTGTGGCATTTTTGACTATTATCCTAAAGAACAAAAATTTTAGAACAAGGAGCAAAAGGGCAAAACACAATGTCCTTTTTTTGCAATAAAGCTCAGTACAGTAGATATTATATAATGTTTCCTGTTAGTCTTTGCACATTAACCAGAGCATAGTAACCAATGTTCTGTTTATTCTATAGACCTGTGTATGAGATCCTTCCTTGTTTTGAATTATATTCTGCTCTTTGGGTCATGCTGTTTAATTCCTGCTAAGCTGGAAGAAAGATCCAGATGCAGCCTATAGGAATTAGAAATAATGTCAACAACAAGCAATAATTATTTTCTGAAAAATACATCATAGGTGAAGCCCACCTGCTATATGGATTTTCATTGGGCATACTTCCAGTTTTTCTATTAAGTTTGACCTTCTGCAGGAAAAAAAAATTACAGAAAGTTAAATATCACAAATTTCTGTTAGAAGTCAGTTGATTTGAGTAAAAGCCAGTCAAGGGAAAAAAAGTACTTTCCAAAAGTCCTGGGATACTGGGTTATAAAAATTAAAAGCAAGGCTTATACAGGAAAATGATACATAGTCACTACCTGGAAAAGCCAGTCCCAAAAATCCCAGTTGCTCTCTTGAAATACATTGAGAAGAATGTTAGGGGTAGGCTGGCCATGGAGAACCCTGAATTTGAGCTTAGTCCAGACAAATAGGTTTGTGTTTGACATAACATTTCTTCACCACAGAGTAATTTCTTAAAAATATGACTTCCAGTCTTAGTAATTTTGCAGCTTACACACTGGAATTAGATGAGATTTGTTTGTACATTATGTGCTTGTCAGGAGACATTATGGGACAAATCTCTGTGCAAAGCTTGATTGATGCTGAAATGTAGAGAAATTGACATCTTAGTCTTATTTAACAAAAGTTTGCCTGAAAAAGCTGCAGGACAAAACTGTATTTTGCCTGGGGTGGGGGGGGGATTGGTTCTGGGAAACTCTAATGTGCAGCTTTGTGTTCTTCTGTTCATTGTCCTGAATTTCAGAAGCTGTAATTGAAGCCTTAAAGTTGACAGGAAATTTTATTCTAATTATGTATCCCCAAACCCATGGTACCTTGAGTACCTTTTATTGCTTTCACATTTTAGTGCTACACACAGGTTGGATGTCCTCTCCCAGTTAGTCAGATACCTTTTCATTTGCTGCAGTGTATCTGTCAAAGTCCTGAGTCAGAAGACTCTGAATGCTAACTAACCTGGCCTGGATCCCAAAATCCTCAAAGATAGCCTTTAGGACTGCATCATGGAGACAGGCATTGTATCATTTATAATCTGCAGAGCCATTTTGTGCGGGCTAGCCCCAGACAGAGCTCGATCTTTTTTTTACAGGTCAGGATTCTTCTCCTCCTTTGACTTGTTACCCATATAAACACTGGCAAAAAGAAAGGCTCCTTAACATCGTGCTATGAAATAAAAGAAGGCCACTGGAAGTGCTCCTGAGGCCAGAAGAAACAATCAGAATCCTCAAGAAAATAGGAATGAGGAAAATAGCTTAATTCTGAGCTAAGAAAAATGGAGGTATGAGCTGGGGGTGCTGGCTGCACCTATGGGGGGACGAAGGGGAACACCACGAGCACTAGGTATTGTGAGGCAGCTGGAAGGAAGATGTCCAAATTCTTTTTCTCTAGCAGAATCCTAACTCTGCCAGTGTTTGGTGTGGATTGAAGATCCCAGCCTCAGCTATTTGATGGTTTGGGGTGACAGGGTGTCTTTTTTTTTTGGATCTAGCCTTTACTCTAAGGTTTACAGAGAGATTTAAGAAGATCAAGAAAGTAAGCAGGATAATCTTCCTGGAGTTCTGGGTTTCAGTCCTTCTCTCACAGAATCCCCTACAGGATTTTTTTCTACTGGCTCAGTACTCAGGAAACTAGTATCTTTACACGGTCTCAAGCTGGGAGCATTCATCCTCTTGGCATGACTAAGCCTCAGGTGCATAAAAACTCACTTCCTAAATGACAGTTTGTAACAAAATTGACCACATTAGTGGCCATCTGTTCTCTTCTTGGATGTCTACAGCCTAGCTGCTGGTTCACGGATGTGGTTATTCCGAAAGTACTTTGAATAGCTTCGGTCCTGAGCTTGTGCTTGAGTAACAGGAAACCTAACTTGGAAAGGTACATATAAACAGGCATTCTCTGGGAGCATTGGAAGCACCTCTTTTGCCATTGCCTATCTGTTCAGGAAAACAAAACTGTATTCCAGAAATACTATTACAGAAACTGCTAATAGCTGGCAAGATGAAAAGATTAACAATGGAGAAGTCCTATAAAATAGACTAGAAATAGAAATCAGCATGAATATGGAATTCTCTGAAGACTCTGAGCTACCTGAGTTAGTAACACAGGGCCAGAAATGCTGCAAAAGAAGCACTGTGACCACACAGCTGACTTGTCATACTCCTGTGCTCACTGCGTGCCTGTTTTCTCTAAATTGCTGGGGAGAGCAGTGTATTTTTAGGGTATGGGTTCTAAGACATTTAGGGAGGTGAAGGTAAGAATGCCAGGACATGGATGCTCAGCAAATGAAGTCATGGCTTACAGCTCTGCAAAGAGAGCCCCACACTCTTTTTGCAGCATGGTAACTCAGTGCAAGCAACACATTTCCACATAAACAGCATTCCCCTGCAATGAAGCAGCAGCCGCGCTGTGACCCTTCCAGCCTTCCAACAGGGAATTAATTGCAAATTAAGATTTTATCTGTAGCAAATATATGAGCCTGGAGTCTTCACTGGACAAGAGCTCCTGTGTTGTGAATTCATATACGTGGTCTAGATTTGGATAATATAGGGATGCAGGAAAAGAAAACGTTTACTAGCATCATCCTTAACTTGGCAATGTGGAAAAGTGTTGCCTGCTTCCCAGCGTATGGAGGCTGAGAGAGACCGAGCACCTGCAAAGCAATTGTTGCTGTAGGATGGCAAGCCCAGCCTTCGCTTTCACCGGCCCCGCTACCCCGGCGAAGGCAGATTTAGGGCTTACCCTGCCCTGCTCCCTCCGCCGCCCCGGCTGCCTCCCTCCGTCCCTCCCTGCCCCGCCGTGCCGGGCCGGGCGGCGCCGCAAGGTCAGCCCCGCGCCCCGCCCGCCGGCCCCGCCGCTACGAACCCGAGTCCTGCGCTGCCCATGGCGGCGGAGCGCGGAGCTCCCCGCGCCTCCGGCCCGCCGCGCCCGCTGTCCGGAGCCCAGCTCGGAGTCCCGGCGGCTCGGGGTACGGCGTGCTCCCTCCCGGGCGGCGGGGGCAGCTCGCTCGGGCTCCCCTCGCCGCCCGGCGATGCGACCCTGCCGGGAGATGCTCAAACCGCCCTAATTAAAAAAATTAAACACGGCCGCTGGTGCTACCTCCTCCTCCTCCACCTCTTCGCCCGCCCCTTTCCATCGCTATTCAGCCGCGCTCTTCTCCAGCCCCGCTTTTCGCGGATTAAACCTAGGAGCGTGGAAACTTCCTGCTAAACACGACGTGCGGTGCATCGGTAAGGGCCGAGCCGGGGCCGCTGCGGAGCGGGGCGGGAGCAGCCCTCCCTCCTCCGCTCGGCTACGGCCGCCCAGGCCGGGCAGCGGGGCCCTGAAGGCCGGGTGGTCTCTGCAGCGATGGAGGAGGGGGCTGCGGTACCCGCAGGAGGGGCCGCATCCCTCCCGGGCCCCGCTGCCGCCGAGAGGCGCGACCCCGCCGGCACCGAGCAGGACCTGTGGAGCCGCGCTCGGTGCGGCGGGGCCGCTGCTCGCCCGGGAGCTGCGGGCAGGGTTCGCACGCTCGTCTGGCTGAGTGGGGCGTGCTGAGCCGAAAGCCTCTTAGGCTGAGCCCGCAGTGTGGCCTCGGGTCCTCCCAGCAGCTCTAATAATAATAACGATTAAAGCACAGACCTCGCTTTATATCCTTTCATTAGCTCCGTTTAGCTGATGGTGGTTGTATATTAGTGAGGTTTCTATTTGCCACAACAGCAGGTGTTTAAGTTGGATTAGGAAAGAAGATTCATTTTCCCAAAGCTGTATCTGTATATATTGCATTAATAAATCACTGATCTGTTTAAAATGATAGTGATTCCATATTTGTAAATCATCTGGGTGAATACACCCCTGCAGGGATGCACATGGGTCAGTGGAACAAGACTGTATCACACTGTCATTCATCACAAGACTTACGAGACTGCTGTAGACCTGCTAATGGATTTTGTTCTCATGTTTCTTGCTACATGCAATAACACTATGATAGGTTAACCCTTCTTGAAATGATCTGGGGAAAAACAGGGTTTTGCCTTGCTGGCCATTTTAATGCCCAATTCCTCTGTTGTGACTGCAGTGAACTTCCAAGCACTGAGTCAAAATACAGCTTTCTCCTGCTGTTAAAACTAATGGTAAACTGATGGTTAACTATGTACGTGCTAATGGTTATTGGTTTGATTTTCTAATGCTGCATGATTAGCACATGATAAACAATGTCTGTAAATCAAGCTAATTTTTGAAGTGCCTCTCATATTTAAAGATCCATGAAGCCCTTATAAATAGATAGTTTTAAATAGTGTAAGATTGTGTTTTCAGAATATGTATATAGAACCCCTACTGTTCCTAAGGAGCTCTAGTTTTCTTTTTTAGCTCTGTCCCTGATTTACTTGGGGGGCCCCATGAAGTTCTCTCACTAGACAGAAAGCTGTAGGTTGAAATTTTGGGAGGTCTCAGAATTTCAGAGTGCTTCATCAACCAAGCAATAATTGTTAAGGGAGAGTGACAGAAATCCAGGGATTCCTAATAATTGCTGAGCATTGCTATACTTGGAGAACCTTATTGGAAATATGACTTGGGGAGTAGCCAGGACCACTCTGAGTGCTGCGGCTGGGAGTGAGGGTCAGCACTGACAGTAGAAACACATTCTGAGGGGGTGTGTCTTGCCTCTTCTGCCAGATTTTAGAAAAGGATGCTGGGCCTTTCACTGCCATTTTCCTGGGAAAGGTTTACTTGAGGGATATTACTCCTTATAGATACATTACCCTTTTGTCTCATTATCCTTAGAGGATTGAACTTAAATAATTTTTTTAATACAGAAATAATTGTCCTTCTTGTACTCTGGCATGGTAGAAGTTGCTGAAATTGTGTGTTTATTTCTAGGAATCTGACACTCATGTTTTATTCTGAAGACTTCTGACTTTATGTATTGAAGATGCACTTTTCTGGAATTGAAACTGGAAAAGAAACTGACAGCGAGCAATAGGGAATGAGTCTCCTTCTTCATCTACCAGTTGTCAGTAGACAAGTAGTACTGTTTTTCTGTTCAAGATGGTATATTTTAAAATGGAAAAGGGATGGAATAACAATATTTTTCTGCATTTTGTTTCTTTTTCACTTGAAATTTACAAGTTTTTCTTTTGCATGGGAAAAGTGATTTTTTGGTAAGGTAAATGAGGAGCAGTGTATGTTACTCATTCTGGATATATGGACCAAGGGACCATTTGCTACTCTTTGCTTTCAATTTCTTTATCAGGATCCATCTTTAGTGTTCAACTAACAGTTACTGTCACTTTCATCTGACTTAAATCATATTTGCTGTTGATTTGATCCTTATTTAGGGAGTGCTGTGTTTCCTCAAATGAGAACCCTTGATCACAAATAGATTTTATAATCATCTAGTAATTTGTTATGTTGAGTTGGCAAACTCAACTGGCCTAATTTAAGGTTGGGCAAGACACTTAAAGCCAAGTGGGTGCCAGGTGAGTGAAAGGCAACGTAGAAGTCTTAGAACTATTAGCTGGTCAATACTTTTAATGTTTAAAGATCACTTGAGTGGTGTAGGTGTCAAGAAAATGTAACTGTTTTGAGGGATAACTAACTCCCTTGTAACTTGCTTTTCATCTTAGCTTTAAACAGCTCTTTGCATGTTCCTTGGCAAACAAACTCTCTCAATTGCTAGAAATTTTAAATGGGCTGAAGTGGCAGAGTCAGTGAAAAATATTGTGCACAGAAGAAACAGATCAAGTTGAAACTTCCCTCCTAAGCAAATTTAAGCAAGTTTTTTGAGAATATGCATAATCAGAAAGCAATAGTATATCGGGAAGATAAAAGCAGTAATAGAGGCGCACAGCAAAAGCAGGTGGATTATATATTAATTGATGTATTGATCACAGTTGCAACTTGGAATTATTTTATGCAATTTAATTCAAGGTATTTAGCATTTTTAAAAGAATAAACATTTCTATTCTACCATGGTTTTTTTACATAGTCTTAAAAGATCTGAATCTCTATTTGTGCTTGTTCAAAGGCTGTGCTTTTAGTAGACAATGACTTTACCAGCAACACAGAGTCTACACCCCTGTGGGTCTGTAGGGCACTGCTTTGGTGACTTTGGGAATGAGGCAGAAAAACAAGACCTACAAAGCAGTCTCCCCGTGTTAAATGTCTGACTAGTCCCACTCTTCAATTAGGAAAAGCATAGGGATTCAGAGACTGAAGAAGGCTGAAAATCATCCCCTTTAAGTTCAATCCGTGTCACTGTTGGGGAGGTGGAAGAGTGCATGAACACAGTGAAAACCAACAGTGCCATCTTGTGTGGGTGGGACAGGAGAGTTGGTCCATGAGGAGGCAAATGGTGCATCTCCAGTGCATCTCCCGGTGCATCTCCAGCTCTTCCAGCCTGGCACTGTGCGAGCCCTCGGCCAGCTAGGGAAGGATGAGCTCCCTTTCGGAGGGAGGTGTTTGCTGCCTCACTTGAAAGGCAGAGCTGGTGGTACCTTAGGGGCACTCAGCCTGACAATGGAAGAAGGAGCAACAAAAAAGCAGGTTGCTGAGTATTTTCCTTCATAATTCAGCAGCTAGAGTAATGTCTGGGGGAAGAGGGATAATGTGAATTGTTTCCATCTCGAACAGTAAAAGTGCTGCCAAAAGTCTGGTCGTATGCAGCCTTTTAGGGGTAAAAAATAGGCGATTAAAATTGAGACTCAAGCTGTGGTCAAGGGTTGCACAACAATGAAAACAAATTTGATGAGACTTAGGGAGATGTAAGCCTGCCATGGGGAACAAAGAAGTAGGTCCCTGCAGATCTAGTAGAGCAGGTCTCCTGTGTGACTGATACCATGTTGTTTCTCAGCCCAGAAAGATAATACCTAAATGCAAAGAGAGCACCTGTGATGCTGTCCCAGCAAACACCAACATGTTACCAACTCCTTTCCAGTACAGAGCACAGCACTGAGGGCTGCTCGGGGAAAACTGACTTCACCTCAGCCAGACCCATGGGCCCAAAAGGCGCACAAACGTGGGGAGGCAGCAATTGACACAGCCAGTAGATTTCCCAGAACAAGTAGGCAAACTGTGTGTAAGAAAGTCAGCAAATCCTGGTATATGCACAGGCCTATCAGCACAGGAATTCAGTGTCAGCTGCTTGGTGCCATAATACTGCTTTGGGGAGTATAGCATTCCAACACTTGAGATGCTCTGTGCAAATAACAATCAAACAGAGGGTCTGGTAACCTGAACGTGGGAATCACACCCTTTCATCCTGAAGAAGTGAGAGCTGTAAAATGTAATGACAGCAATATCAAGTAAACATTAACTATTCCACCAGTGATTATTATCGCAAATACCAAGATATTTATCTAATTATGGTTAATGTATGAACAGAATTACATCTCTTATCAGACCTCTGGACATGCCTTTCTACCTTCATCTGGAATGGAGGTTACTGGAGTATTTTGCAGTAGCTTTGAGTGCTTTCTCCAAAATCTCACATTACCAACACCTGCTATGACAGTCATGAGGACAGACAAAAGAGAGTCCCAGCAGCTCATAAGGAGTTTACTTCCAAAAGCCACATTAGTACAGGTCTGTGGGTTAGCAAACAGAAGCCACCAATCTAAATTCATTGCAGAGGACTGAACGGCTTTCTTTATATAATAGATAGTTATATAATATTTAGTTACCCCTTTAGAAAGGCTTTTGTACTTGTCGTTAGCAAAATTATTCAACTTGGTCCAAATGATAAATGCTTTTTTCTTCTTTTAAAAATATTGCTTATTAGAGAGTGTCCAAAGGAGGCAACAAAGATGGTGGAATGTCTGGAGGAGTAACTGAGGTCACTTGGCCAGCCTGGAGGAGACAGAGGGGACACCTCATTGGGATCTTCAATGTTGTCACACGGGGAAGCAGAAGCACAGCTACTGATCTCTTCTCTCTGGTGACCAGTGACAGGACTGGAGGAAACAACACAAAGCTGAGTCGGGAGAAGGTTTTTCACCCAGAGGGTGGTTAAGCACTGAAACACCCTCCCCGAGGAAATGGTCACAGCACCAAGCCTGAGAAAGTTCCAGAAGTGTTTGGACAATGTTCTTGGGTACACGGTGTGACTCTTGGTGTGTTTTGTGCAGGGCCAGGAGTTGGACTGGATGATCCTGATGAGTCCCTTCCCACTCAGCATATTCTGTGATTCTATATTTGGTCTGAGCTGTCTCAACACAGATTAAGGGTTGATTCTGTGTCCAAATCCTGCAGAATTTGGGAGTCTTCAGTTCATGATGAATGTGGGGATCTTATTAATGTAGAGGGGTACTGAAGTGTTTGTAAAAAGATCATACAAGATATTTTAAATCAGAAATGGGGTGGCCAGCAGGACTAGAATAGTGATCTTCCCCAACCTCACACTAGTGAGGTTGCACAGTGCAATCCTGTGTTCAGTTTTGGGCCCTTCACAGCAAGAAGGACATTGAGGTGCAGAAGTGTGTCCAGAGAAGGGCAACTGATCAAGGGTCTGGAGCATAAGTCTTGTAAGGAGCATAAGGGGGTGTTCAGCCTGGAGAAAAGGAGTCTCAGGAGGGACATTATCGCTCTCGACTGCCTGAATGGAGGATGTAGCCAGGTGGGAGTTGGTCGCTTCTTCCATGAAACAAGTGATAGGGTGATAGGAAATGGCCTGAACTTGCACCAGAGGAAGTTTAGGTTGGCTATTAGGAAAAATTTCTTGACGGAACGGGTTGTCCATCACTGGCACAGGCTGCACAGGGACGTGGTGGAGTCACCATTGCAGGAGGGATTTAAAAGACGTTAAGATGTGCCACTTGGGTACTTGGCTTAGTGGTGTACTTAGCAGTGCTATATTAAAGGGTGGACTTGAAGACCTCGGAGGTCTTTCCCAACCCGACTGCGTTCTGCGCCCGAGCGCCCCAAAGGCTCAGTGAGGCGCTGCCGTGAGGCGCTGCCGTGAGGCGCAGCCCCGCCCGGGCCCGGCCCCGCGCCGCCATGGCAACGCACAAAGCCTCGGCGCGCGCGCCCTGCCCCGGCCGCGCGCGGCGCTCTCGCGAGACTTGTCGCGGCGCGGCGAGGCCGAGGCGGTCGGGCCCGTTTCAAACCGGCGGTCGCTGGGCCGCGGCCCGCGCGAGATGGCGGAGAGCGACAGGGCGGAGGCGGCCGCGCCGCGCCGGGCCGAGGAGGCGGCCGGCCAGGCACCGCAGCCGCCGCCGCAGCTACAGCAGCAGCAGCAGCCGGCACCGCAACAACAGACGCCGCAACAGCCGCAGGATGAGGAGGCGGCGGCGGCCGCGGCACCCGGTAGCGGCGCGGGCAGCGCAAATGGCGTCAAAATGTGTGTGAGGGCAGGGCCGGGAGGGCGGCGTGGGCAGCGCGGCCGGGGGGCGGCGGGAAGAGGTGACCGGACCCACCGGCCCCATGGCTCCTCCTCCGCGGGGCCCTCCCGCCCGGGCGCTCGGGGCGGCCGCGGCCTGGGCACGGGCCGGTGGCTGCTCCGGTCAGCGGCCGCGGCGGGCTGGGCGATGCGAGGCCGCCCCGCAGGGCTGGGCTGGGCTCCGAGCCTCGGGCTCTGGGACCTGGCGGACCGGTTCCCGCGGGATACCCTTCCACGAGTGTTCCGCATCCCTTCAGGTGCCGGTTACATTAACACCTCTGCCAAAAAGATTTAATTTCTAAAGCCGTTGAAATAGTCTTTGTTTACGTGAGGATGGTAAAACAGCCCTTTAGTAATTTACTTCCTAAAAACAAACCCCGCATATGCATACATGTTTCTTGGAAACTGTAACATTTTCATACACGGAGTATGTAAAATTGTGCCTTGTATAGTAGGTCTAAAAGGAACTTAGTATAAAGGAGCTGGAAAGACCAGCTCTCTGGAACAATACCATGAATAACTTTGTATGTGTGGTTGTTCTTGATGTCAGACTTGGAGGGTTGTCACTCTTTACGTGAACTAGATTTTGGCCTCAGATCGTTGGAATTTCAATATCTCTTCCAATCTCATTCAGATCTTGGAGGGAAAATACATTTACAGTAGACTTACAGTACATCAAAGCTGCTGGCGTCTGTGAAGTTTTGACATGTTCTAAGCATCCCTCCTCTGATACTGTTGTATTTTAAAAAAATGCATGTGGGATCATCTTCAATATAAAGCTGGAGGAATAAATACGTACTTCATGCCTTTACTTGACTCCCTGTAAAATTTATTTTAGTTTACAAACTTTAAATTCCACTCTACTCTAAAATGGATTTTTTGGATTTGGTTTTTCTTCCCCCTAAACTGGCCTTCAGCTTCCAAACTGCATAGATTGGAATTGAATTTTCACAGGATGTCACCCTTTTTGCCCCTTTTAAGCGTATAAATTTTATTGCCTTTTGAGGTTGCTACTGATGAAATGAGGTATTTTCTCTGTATCCCTCCTGTCAACAGTATCTTCTTTTCCCTCCAAAACCTCACAAGCAAATAAAAAAATCCCAGTCATTCTGCATGGTAGAAGTCACAACTTGAAGTTTGAAAGTAATGGAGGGTTCTTGGTAGCAGAGATTCAAATCTTATTCTTTCACATACAGTTTTTAATCTTTCCCCAAACGGGTGTACAAAGGATTAAGCTGTCAGTCTGTGGGTTAAGTGTATTATTTGAAAAAAAGGATTTTGTTAACCTGGTTTGCTTAGCATTTGTTAAACTGGAGAGGAATCCTGACTCAGTTTGCACACTTCCATAGGTTTTTTGTATTGGGCAGTGGAACTGTTCAGCACAACAAAGCTAAAGTGATCCATGTGGTTTGAAATCACATGGTGTGAACTTCTTCCATTTCTGTCTGCTTATCTTATTATGGACACTTGTGAGGAGGAGTAGCAGTTTCTTTTAAAAATTCAAGTTTTAGGGCTTTCATGTTGATGTATCTTGTGCTTATTATTTATAGGCTTCTAGTTTTGCATGTGGAAAGCTTGTCTTTGGTCTTCAGAACTTTATGTAATGTTCAAAAGCTTTTTTTTCCAAAAGGTATAATTGGTCTTTCAAATCAATGAGCATATGCACTTTTTTTTGAAGAACTAATTAGACATCTTTTTTCTAGTCCTAAGAACGGTGATGGTCTGTGATTTCACACACAAATATTAATTTAATGTATGGAATGTGTAGCTCATACAAAAGGTAAAGGTTAGAAATTATTATTGTTTTTCCCCCATGAAAATGTCAGTTTATAATTTCTGAGTCTGTCTTTTCTGTAGTCTGTAGGTGAGTAATGTGACATTGCTTTGAATGTATTTCAATGATTGAAATTATTGTTAATATTCAAGGAGGTGGGTAAGAATTGTAAAGGATTTCTGCCTCTGCCCTGGTCACTGCCTGTGTTGGTTTTGGCAGATGAGTTTTGCAAGAAGGATTGTTTCTTTAATTAATGCTCTATTTTCAGCAGGCTGGGTGTGATTCCCAGACCAAGTGCAGTGTCGCTTTGTTTCCCAGATTTAGAAGTTTATGCCAGGCTTATATTTTCTGTGCTCTCTACTGATTTGTACAGCCAGGTCTTGCAGAGCCTCTGGATTCCATATTTGGAGACCTGTCTCATCCTGTGCACCAAGGAGCTGTTTCATAATCCTTTAAGCAGGAAAGAGCTTAAAAGGCTGGAGAGAATCCATTGCTCTAATCCTAAAACTTAAGGAAGAACTCAGATTTTTGCTAGGAGTCTCGTTGGGCAGGAGTTTTGCATTTGCAAATGGGGTTGGATTGGAAGGAACTGATCTGACTGGAAGACCTGCTACTCTGCTCTTTGCCTCCTCCCTTGAATCCCTCTAGTTTCTGCACTGTTTCCTTCATTTCGCTTCACCACACAGCCACACAGGAATTATATTGTCACACAGACAGGATGGTGTGGAGGAGGGATGATATAGGGGGACGTTGGAGAAAGCTTGAACCAGATAACATATTGTTGACTTGAGATGTTTTAAATTTTACAAATACTTGCCCCAGGGGAGTATCCATGCATTTCCCAGTTGCTGATCCACTCTTAATCTATATATAAACACGAGGGCTGTGAAGTTAATATCATGTGAGTATTTCAAAATTGGGGAAAAAGTCAGGGGAGTAATATGGATGTATTTGAATGTACTCCTCCCTGAAATGTACCCAAGCTTGAGTAGATAATACATTTAGCATAATGAAAAGCTTCTTGCATGTGCTTTTGAGTGCAGGACTGCCACTTACTCACTGTTTTGTTAGCTGTACAGAGAGCTGAAAACTTGTCAGTTAATCAAAATCACTGGTTTTGCCATATGTTGTGGTTGTAAAGCTGAAATGCTTGAAACCTTCCAAAGTGTCTCAGTGAGAAAAACTATAAAAACTAAGCCTTCTGAAATGTGGGAGATATACTAAAGATAGTGATGTAATTTAAGAAGGAGTGTTCACAATCATTCACTTCTGTCACTCCTGTAGGACATCACCTTCTAATTGTTCTAACTGAAGATGCTAATTCTGGCTTTTAAAAATACATGTTTTTGTAGTACTTTTAAAGTTTCTCTTTAAGTAGACAGTGATGTGTAGTTAAAGATGCTAGACAGCATCTGTTTAGTGGATCACATTTGTGTGGCTTCATTCAGTGAATTCATTCAGTTCAGCAGTTCTCCTTTTAAAAAATAACAATTCAGGTCCTTGAGCCTCTGTTAGCATGCTAAATGACCTTGTGATAATATCAGGGGTGCTGAAGAATTACAGATACTTCTTCTAATTCTGTTGAAAATGTATGGTCTTACTGAAGTTGAGATTTGGACTGCTGTAAAAGAAAAGCAGCCAATTTTCTTGCATTTTCATCTGAAAAATAAAAATATTTTAAAAGGAGGATTTCGGTGCTATTGGTGAAGTTTTGAAAGACTGAGGGCCAGGTGTCTGCTTTGTTGTTTTTAGTGGATAATACCTGGTTACCTAATTAGTCTTAGATTCATAGCATGGCTTAATACAGCTGTTTCCTATGCATTTAGCAAGTTTTCAAATTCTAGTAGTGTTAAGCAGTAAAACTGAAAAAATACTTCTTTTTCTTAGTTGAATTTTAATTTCTGTCTAACAGTAGTCTGGCTGTGTCTTCACAAATGGTGAATAAAGATAATTTATGGGGTAGATAAAACAAAATTTGATGTAAATCCTATTGGAGTTGATTTTGATATATTAATATTCCATTGAATTAAACATTCTGAGCTGTTTCAACTGTCAAGATTAGAGTGTTTCTACTCCCACATCTGTGGTGAATATCCTGTAACTTGTCCGAGTGAAAATTACCAAAACACCAAGGCTCAGGTACTAGAGATCATTTTTCACTCTTTCTGTTTTGGTCTTTGTAGTAGTTTCATAGTTCCATCTTTCTGAGTCTTGACAGAGAAGATGTGCTGGCACTGGTTGCCCAGAATTGTGGATGCCCCATCCCTGAAAGTGTTAAAAGTTGGATGGAGCCTTGAGTAAGGTGATCTAGTAAAAGGTGTCCCTGCCCATGACAGTGGGCTTGGAATTAAATGATCTTTAAGGTACCTTGCCACCTGAACCATTTTAGGATTCTGTGATTCTCTGAAATGGAATGTGAATTAGTAAGATGTACTGTTGTTGTATTGGAACATTTTTTTGTTCTTGATAAAGTAGTGTATTTTGGAATTATTCTAATAGCATGAATTTATTTTTCCTAATCTGAAAAGCAGCATTTGACATCCTAGGAGTTCCAATAGCATAGGAAATACTCAGTTATAGAGGTAGGAAGTGGGGTAGTCTAATGATCCAACACAAGACTAACAGTGTTTTTGTTTGGATTTTTGTTTTTTAATGTAGGGATAATGATGAGACAGCAAAAGAAGGGAAAGCACCTGTGAAAGAAAAGTTTGTTTCAAAAGCAAAGGCAATCCCTTCTCTTGGAAACAAGAATAAATTCCACCCCTATGCAAAGGAGAAGAATGCAGGCTCTGGAGACAAGAAGGCTGTTAGTCGCAACAGAGTTTTTATTAGCAACATCCCATATGACATGAAATGGCAAGCTATTAAAGACCTGATGAGAGAGAAAGGTAACTCACTCCTTGTAATACACTTCACACAGAAACCAGTAGGGCTTAAATGCAACCGATGTGTCCTTTGAGCCACACAGATTTGATTTGACTTTTTTGTTTTGGCCTGTACTTGGTACATCTATCTCCCTTCCCCCTCTTTCATCCGAGACAATTGCATTGCAGGGTAGGCTGGGTAAATGCAGTGCTCACAATCTTCTGCCACTCTGGTGTGATAGTAGAGAGTATATGCATGACCTCATGAGTTCTTAAAGAGACTGTGTTTTGTCTAGTTGTAGTTCTTGTAGATTTATTTTTCTCTAAGGGCTTTTGTATTTAAGCAACACATGAAGTGTGTTAACCTGAATAATAAGGGATGTCTTTCAAAAGTTGTTTTGTATTTCTTTGGTGGAATCTGGCTGTGGCATTAATTTTGTCTGCATTGTCATTACTTCCATGACTGTTTGTCTGGAGCTTTGTATTAAAAGCTTGTTCCTATTGTTGCAGTTCTGATAGAGAAACCTGACTACCCCCAAAATTTTATTTTAAATTTGGGGTAAAATAATGATAATATATGGATTTTGTAAAAAGTTAGTTCTGTGTTTTCCTTGAAAAATTGATTCTTCAAAAGTAATGCAAAGCACACTTGGCTTTTAGGCTGTGAAAAATGCCAGACCCCCTCTTCTGTAACTGCTGGCTTATCTGTTGTAAGGTGACGTGACTATTTGATTGGTTTATTTATTTAAACTTCCTACTTTAGAAAGTGAGTTGCTTGCTGTGAAATATTTGATGTGTAAATTTGGTTATTATTGAAGGCAAACTTTTGATTGAAGATATTCAGGTAGAAAGTCACCTTAAAACAGGTGTTGTGAGTAGGATGATAAATGTAACACTTTTCAGTGAACGTTGACGTTTCATTTGTTAGGTTAAGGGACTGTGTATATCTGAATTTGTTCACCAACTATATCATACTGGCCAAAATATGATCTGTAGTATGAATTAGGTTAAATATAGTTGTTTGTTTTTAGCTTTTGAGAATGTGGCTGCTGCATATTTCTGAAAACTAGCTAAATTATATAGCCATTGACAGGAGGTGTGGTTGGTCTGGTTTTGATTGTTGGTGAATAATAGGTGATTCTCTGTAGACTTGTGCACAGGGGCACAGTAAAGAAAGATACTGGTGTTTAAATGCATTGTCTCTTGGTATTTTCCCTTTGTATGTCTTATGTAGTTGGTGAGGTTACATACGTGGAGCTGTTTAAGGATGCTGAAGGAAAATCAAGGGTAAGTGCCGTGGGCAACAATCTGCTAGAGGTTTAAAAGTTCCTCAGCAGTTTTATTTTTGTATAATACCTGTACCAGTTATTGGAAAGTAAGTTTCATTTTTACACTGATTTTCATTAAGGTAGCCTTGAGGATTTTGAATTAGAAGTAGTCTGACACCTTCATGCAACTCACACTAGTTGGTTGTAAGGGACAAAGTACTTCTGTAAATGTTAACAAATGGCTTTTACTTAATTCTTCTTTTTAGCCAACACCTTTGTCTTGGTACAAATCTGTTTCATATTAAGGATGTTCATTTAAATTATTTTAGTGTAGTACGCTCTTCTTGGGGCCAATAAGTATAAAATGTTAGCTAAGAATATACTGGGTGAAGTGCCTGATTTCACAGCTTTGCAGAATTGGTACTTTTTAAACACTGGCTTAATGTATTTACTTTCTTAAAACTAAATGGATGGAGATGGTTGGTAGCCAACAGAGTGCCTGCAATGAGGCACTAATAGTGAAGATTGTTAAAGCTCCTCTGTCATCTTAATAATAGTCAAAAGTTTGGCCAATAGCGGCTCCAAGCCTGCAGTGAGAACATGAGAAATGCAGGTTTGAGTCTTAACTGTATCAATTGTTGTAAATTACTTTCTTTAATACTTGTTAAAACTAAAACATACTGTCAGCTTTGCTATGCTTTAAGAAATCCTCAACTCTTTGCTTGATTAGAAGGATGCTGGTGCAGTCAGTAAGGGTATTTTCTTATAAGGTAATTTCGCAATTATGTTGTACTGACGAGGTATGCAGACTGCTTTTTTATTGTAGTGGTGTACTTGATGTAGGTAGATTTTAATTTTATAGTTAGTGGACAACTTTAAATGATGAGTGTCCTGATTGGTTTTTGATTATGTTTTGGGGTTATTTTCTTTCCACCCTTTCCTCCCACCTCCTCTTCCCAGTTGTCCTTACATGGATCTGTGTGGCATTTTTCCAATTCTGGTTTGACTCAAAGAGCATACTCAATGTATTCTCTTGCATTTGAATGGTATGTATGCTGAGAAAGTAAGAGAAATTCAGATTGGCTACCACTAAAGAGCATATATTATGGATCTTGAAGCTGAAAATAACTTGTAGAGTTACTTAACAGTGAGCTGGGATCTTTAACTAGAATCTTCATTGCTCTGTCATATGTGCTGACTGACTTATTTTTTTTCTTGCTTGTTTTCTCTTTACATATGATGACAAATCTCCTGGATATAGGGTTGTGGGTAAGTTTCTTTTTTTATGTGTGTAGAAGCACACTGCTTTCCAAACATTCTATTAGTTTTGGTATGTTAAACTTTGTTTTAATACTCTAAATGTTTTGATCTCTTTCTAAGTGTGGTTGAATTCAAAGACGAAGAATTTGTTAAGAAGGCATTAGACACTATGAACAAATATGATCTTAGTGGAAGACCCCTGAATATTAAAGAGGTATGTTTATTGCTGCTGTTTTCAATTTGAAATAATGAAGATACTAAAGCTACTGAGATGACCATACAGTGTTTTGAGAATCTTAGATGTGCAATTTCCACTTTCATTTTTTGTGAAATTTTCTTGATGGGCTGAACTGCCCATTAGCTTGTAAAAGGTTGGATACTATGCCAAGTAAACTGACAAAAAGCATGTCCTAAAATCAAAATAATCTAATGCTGTTTTTTGTTAAAACAACTTTACTTCATATTCTTACCTTAGGTTTTTTCCAGCCTAGGTAATCTATGTTTACACTGCTTATCTGCTTCAAAATATGACACAGAATGAGCTAGTTATTAGACCACTACATATGTGCAAAAATGGGGCTGGAAATAGAGGAGTTGTGATGTCTGGGAAGTGAAATAATGCCAGCATTTCTGTTGTAGTGCTGTAGTATATCATGGTATCAGATGCAGTTTTTCATGTCCTGTTACAGTTTTAATAATGGTATTAATAAATAATACAAAACCACCACCTAATTAAACTCATTCAATTCTTGGAAGAAAGTGCTAGACTGACAGTCCTTTAGCTTGAAATCTTTTCTACTTGTCCATAGGCTAGGTACAGCATGTGAAGTGGCAGTGCACGCTTCCTCAACAAGTGCTTTGCCAATATGCCTCAACCCTCACCTGAAAGGACCCACCTCTAGAGGTGAGGGAATTAGGTCTCCATGCTAATTCAGTTCATCATTCCTCTGACATGGATAGGTGTATTTGTTAGTTGATAATTTTCATGGGTTTATGCAGAATTTCAAGTAGTACCATTTTGTATGTTGTCAGTCCAGTTGTTGATGGTTGAGTGTCTTTGTTTGTGCCCATGTTTCAGGATCCTGAGGGAGAACATGCTCGCAGGGCTCTGCAGCGGGGAGGAGGGCAGTTTCCAGGAGGACATGGATCTGATGCAGCACCTGGAATGATGAATTTACCACCTTCTATTCTCAATAATCCAAACATTCCTCCTGAGGTTATCAGTAATTTGCAAGCAGGCAGGCTTGGATCCACGATTTTTGTTGCAAACGTAAGCTCAAAACAGGATTTTATAACTTTAATGTTTGACATTTGTGGAGTTGAGATTTAATATAAAGAGGAGGTTGGAAATAGTTCACAGTTAGTATATTCAGTTGAAAATGTTGGGTATGTGTTCAGATTATTGACATGAAAAAATACATTAAACTCTTGAGACTGACATGCACTTCTAATTTTTGCAGTAATCAGTTGATTCAAAAATATTTTATGTATCTCTTCAGTATTTACAATTGCATTTCTTTTTTATTAAATATATACATCAGTTTACTTTAGTTTATCTTGCTAGTTACTTTAGACTAACACAATAAAGTTCCAACAAATACAGTGGTACAAGTTCTCTTCAGCACAAAAAAATACTGTATTTATATGAGGTCTTGCAGAATTACTGCTGCTCTTCTCAAGAACCAGCCCAATGGTAGTATATTCATTAAAGTAAAATACATGTACATATTGTACATACATGTACAATAGGTGACTTTTTGGACTTTGACACAGTGTGTGTATTACAAAATCTCAGCTATTTACAATTATCAAGCATCAATGAGGAGTTAACAGCAATGCAGAAAATCTCTTCCAAATGTAATAGCAGAACAGAGATGTGTACTGAAATCACTGATGTATTTCTGTGTTTAAGCTTGACTTCAAAGTTGGCTGGAAGAAACTGAAGGAGGTATTCAGCATTGCTGGAACTGTGAAGCGTGCAGACATCAAAGAAGATAAAGATGGCAAGAGTCGAGGAATGGGAACAGTTACCTTTGAACAAGCAATTGAAGCTGTTCAGGCAATATGTATCCTTGGTTTTGAAAAATAATTAATCATATATTGATTAGCCTTTAATGGTTCTGACAGCACAGTTTTACGAATGGTTCTTATTTGCCTTGTAGCTACGATATAGGGACTGGAGTGTAATACTGTGCAGATTACATTTGTTATTCCTGAATTTAGTACTAAATTCTAAAAGTTCCTCATGATGTTGAAGAAAATAAAAATACCTGGCAGTGTGACAATTGTGAAACTAACTTTAATGTACCGAACAGCTTGTATTACATCTTCTGGCCCTTGAATTGGGTTTCTAAAAATAAGGTAGGGAAAGACAAGACTCAGTAATTGTACGGAAATATAGTAAGTTATTACATTGATTTTTCAGAAACAGTTAAATAGCCTTCTTAAGACTCCTTGACTTGTTTCTTCAGCTATGTTCAATGGACAATTCCTGTTTGATAGACCCATGCATGTAAAAATGGTAATTTGCTTTCATTTCTTTCTATTTTATATGTCTCTGCCAAAACATTGAAAGGATCATAGCATAACATCCTTGTTTTTTATCAGGATGACAAATCAGTTCCTCATGAAGACTTCCGTGTTGTGGACAGCAAAAGCTCACAATTACCTCGTGAGTGCCTGCTTGGTTTTCTACTCCTTGCACTTAGTATATGGTGATCAATGTTCTCACACAGTTTAGTAATACTTTTTCTTACTGTGGTCTCGGTGATACAGAGGAAAGTCTCTCTTCTAATCATACTTTTTTTTTTTATTTTGAGGCGGTCTTGGTGGCATTGGTATGGGACTTGGACCAGGTGGACAGCCCATCAGTGCAACACAGCTGAGCATGGGTGGTGGAATGGGGAGCATGGGTCCAGGAGGTAATCCATATTCTTTATTTTTAAGTTATACAGAGCTAGTTTAAAAATTTTAAAATTTAAAATTGCCATTTCTATGTTTGCAAAAATGACAGACTTTTGACAAAGCAAACTTTGTGTAGTGTGCTTTTGAGATATTAACTGTCTGACTTTTTAAAAATCCATTAGGGTGTACTAAGTGTTTTTTTATTTTTTTGGTTTAAAGGTATGGGAATAGACGGCCCAGGATTTGGTGGAATGAGTAGAATGGGAGGCGGTACGTGCAATGAAGTTTTTTGCATTAAATATTTCTTTAATACTGTATAGAAAACACTTTTCCTTATTTTGCAGGACTTCCTGGATTTCGTGGAATGGAAGGAATGCCTAACATGGGAGGATTTGGAGTCAACCGAATGGGAGGTAGTTGAACACCGTTCCTGTACACCTACTAGTTTGCTAATATTTATTTATTGAAAACTCTCCATTTAGGGGTGGGTAATATACATGAGTTCAAAGGAAGTAGTTGCATGAGTGGAGGCCTAGGAACCGGCAGGAGAGTTGAGTGTGTGATAGGTGCCTCCGACTTGTGCATTAGACTCACTTCTAATTAGACAAGGAGCTGTGAAACAAGTGTTGTGGAGCATCAACTTAGATGTAAATAACAGAATCTTCCTGTTTTTTTGCTTTGTTATTTTCAGAAATGTTCCGTGGTGGAATGGGAGCAAACATGGAAAGAGAATTTGGTCGTGGTGACATAGCATTGAACCGTGGTTTTGGAGAGTCTTTTGGAAGAATGGGTATGGTAACTGTTAAATTTTCTGTGACATAGTATTGGAAGAATTTTGCTAGAAGAAGAGGAGAAGAGGTTTCATCTGGTCATCTTCTGTTTCTTCTACCCCAGTCATTACTGTAAGGATGTAATCTGAATGTTCGTTACAGGGGTTCAGATGTGGAGGGTTTTCTTCCCTCTGTAAAATATGAATGGAATAGCTGTTTGAGGAAAGCATTTACCTTCATACTGTATATTTTTTAGGGTATTAAACTTTTGGGGTGTTGAAGTATATGCCTCTGATAATCCTGACAAGGTGTCCATGTGCAGCCTTTGTAGCTTCCATGAGCCTATTTTGCAAATGCATGGTGTAATACTGTTTCTACTGCAGATCAGGTAGCATTGGACAGAAGTGTTGAATTTTGGTGCCCTCAGTTTTTGTCCTGCCTTCTGAGCTCCTATAGCTCAGAATGGTATTTATGGGTCTCTTCTGTAACTGAGCCAGCATTACTTTGTTTATAGATGATGTCTTGTTGGCAGTGGGGCTCCCTCAAATTGGTTACTCTTCCATCTTCAGAGGTGTGGAAGATCTCAAAAATAAGAGCCTTCTTGCCTGTTGTTACTATGCTGTTACCTGGATGAATCACAGAATCCCTTAGGCTGGAAAAGATCACCAAGTCCAGCCTTTAACCCAACATGGACAAGTCCACCACTAAACCAGGTTACCAAGAGCCACGTGTATGCTTCTTTTAAATCCCTTCAGGGATGGTGACACCACCACTTCATTGGTCAGCCTGTTCATATGACTGACAATTCTTCCTGTGAAGCATGTTTTCCTAATATCCAATCTAAACCTCCCTGGTTTAACTTGAGGCCGTTTCCTCTTGTTTCGTTGCTTATTACTTGGTAGAAGAGACTGATCCCATGTCTCTGCAACCTCCTTTCAGATAGTTACAGGGAGCAGAAAGATCCTCCCCGAGTCTCTTCCTCTCCAGGCTGAGCACCCCAGCTCCCTCAGCCATTTTTTCAAAAGGCTTGTGCTCCAGAGCCTTGATCAGCAGTGTTACCTTTTCTGGACACACTTCAGCACCTCTATGTCTTTCTTGTTGTAAAGGGGCCTGAAACTGAACACAAAATGCATTATAGGAGACAGCTGTTCTTCCTCTTCCCTGTTTCTTGTACTTTTCCATTCCCTTAATTCACCTGTTTGAAAGAGAAGAACTCCTAAGATCATAAGGTTCATCTGGTCTAAAAGTTGATTTTTTAAAAAAAAATTTATTAGTTGAGGCCATTCATAGCAAAGGGCAACTGTTGTGTGCTTCTCTTCAGTAGTGGAGAATTGACAATTCTACAGTGTAGAATAGAATAGTGTAGTGTAGAATAGTGACAATTGTGTAGAAGTGGTAAGAACATAATAGGCTTGTCCTTTGAGCTAGTCTTAATGCCTTGGAATGAATGTCTTAGAAATCAAGTGTATGCTTTCGCTCTGGCTACTTGCATAAACATCTGTTTCCTGAGTGAAAATGCAAGGCCACTTAAGTTATAAATGTTTCTGCAAGGAGTAGGCTTCTGAGGCTTCTAATAACACGTTGGTTTAAAAATTCATGAACCACTGTGAGAAAGTGATGTGTGTGTCTTTCATTCAGTAGATCCAGCAAGCTTCAATTTACAATCTATCAGATCTGCCCATTTGAATAGTATCCTGAGACCCAAGATTGGAGATTCCCAGCTTAACCTTAAATAATGGAAGGAAATTGTATGGACTTTTAATAGATGCTGTGTTTGATCAGGGAAGGCTCTGATGTACTCCTGTTACAGTATTTAGGTTAATGGTATCTTAAAAAGAAATACTGTGAAGTAACCTTGCTTTTAGTAACCTTGAAATCAAGGAAGGCGTCTTTGATTGGGCTATAGTATCAGAGTGGAATTGAGGATGTTTGATTTGCAGCAGTATTGTTGATTTTTTATATTATCAAGTTCATATAAGATGAAGCCTTGAATTTTGAGGTTGTTTTTCCCAATGTAGGAAGTGGCGCAATTAGTTTTACCATATTTGTGCTGCTGGCAGGCTGTCAGAGGGAAGAAAAGCTAGAAAGAAATCAGAGTAGCTTAAATCCTGTAGTAGAAAAGGAGAAACTAACTTTACTTACAAGGTGTTCCTATTTAGTTTGTATAGTAAAGGCACACATAAAAGTGCCCTTATAGAAAAATCTTGCCAGGTAACATTGAGAACAGTGCACTTCATTAGTGTGTGCTTTGTTTTTTTTTTACTAACTGGTGGTTTCAGTGTATGTCACTTCATTATTTTTCTCTGTTTAGGTGGTGCAATGATTGGTGTTTTTGCAGGAGGAATGGGAGCACCTAGCATGGGCCCAGTAAGATCTGGAATGAGTAGGTTAACTTGTTTCAATAGAACATAAATGCATAGGCCATGTAACAATGTAGTGTACACGTACTTGTATCAGAGGAATTTGCTGTAGTGTAGTGTCTCGCTGTTGAGGGAAGTAGAACTCTGTTGCATGTGATAAGTTAACAGTTTTCAAAGCTGTTTTGTTGAGGTAAAAGTTCAGAGGAAAACTAGCTAATAAAGTCTTTCCCTTAATCTTAGATTTGGATTGGTTTCAACTTCTAGTTTAGAGGGAGAAGTGATTAAAATAAACTTGTGTTTCAGAAAAAAAGACAGGCAGAGTTATATGAGTAAACTTTGTGAAGCTGAACCTTAGTAATCTGTCATCATTGAAATAAAAAAAATCAGCCTTGAATTTCACATTATCCCCCAGTTTAATTTTGTGCAAAGCTTCAGTACTGAGTTTGTATTGCAGCAACTCTGAGTTCCTCAGGCTAGAGCATATGAGAAACTAAAATCTTGCTAGTGCCGATCTTAGAAGACATAAGGCTTAAAGAGAGGATCTCTCATGAATGATCTTGATAATTTTACTGTACATTAATTTTTTCATTATGAATCTAGAAATATTGTAGTATTTGAATGCTATTGCTCTTAGTTAATTATATAAATTAATACATTTTATTCCATGTATGTACTTTTTATTAGGGTTTAAACCATGACACATAATAAAGTTCATGCTCTTTACAGTACTTGCAGTAACTTCTGTTCTTGGCAAAAAATCTTCTCTAGAAGATTTTATAATTACGTGTGGGTATGGCTGCATTAAGTTAAGCTGAATATATATGCAGGAAGCCAAACAGACAATATTATATCTGGTGAAATTATCTGTATCTAAGTATTACCGCAGTTATTTATTTGATCTTTTTGGTAAAGGGTATTATAGTTTTTTTAACTAAATGAGACAGACTTTGAATTCTTGTGTTCAAAATTCTGCTACATTAGATGGTGCGACTAATAGCTTGATGCAGGTTTAGTTTTACTATTTTAGAACTGACACTATATCTTGTATAATACTTTGTCATAAAATACTAGCCATGCTCCTAGAAAGCACTGCATGTGTAGAAGTTACAGTTTATATTACAGCAGTTTTAATAAAGCTGTTCTCCTGAGACAAGAACTTTGTTTGATACCAAATACTTGTGTGTTTATTACTAAAAGATTTTATTTTATCCTCAATTTCTTTCTCTCTGTAGGTGGTGGAATGGGTGGTATGAACAATATGGCTGGAGGAATGGGAATAGATCGGATGGGTTCTGGTTTCGATCGAATGGGACCAGCCATGGGTGGAGGCCTGGACAGGAATATGGACATCGATCGAGGATTTGTGCCTGGCCCCATGGGAAGTGGCATGAGAGAGAGATTGGGCTCTAAAGGCAACCAGATATTTGTGAGAAATGTAAGCAATTAAATATATAGAAACCACAAGCTTATTTTATGTGTATCTTTGATTGCTTGCTCTTACTCTCATTGTAATATTTTTTTACCAATAATGCTTTTTTATTTTAGCTTCCTTTTGACTTGACCTGGCAGAAGCTAAAGGAGAAATTCAGTCAATGTGGTATGTATATGAACCTTACCCCTGTTCATCTCCATAGACTTCATGTGTTATGTGGTGTTTATTAGAAAACAACAGGAAGACTGTTGTCTGACTCTGAAGAAGAGTCTGGCTGGCTTAATTTTTCTTGTTTCACCCAGCTTTCTTGAGTTATATAAATAATTTTTAGGCATGACAGAACACAAGACCAAGGTACAGTATGGGCTGTATTGGCTCTGAGTTCTCACCTCCATAAACTTTAACCTATTCCTTTAATAAAATTACTCTTTGAATTTTTTCTTTTTCTGACATATCCCCTGGCCAGTAAAAGTATATAATGTAGTGTTTTCTATGAGTTAAATATGTGCAGGATCCTGGATCTGTCCAGATCATGTATTACTTCAGAAATGGTGCTGCATCAAATCAGAGTTAGTAATTTTGCCAGTGCAGCATTACAGGTTTTACACATATAGATCATCCTGATTAGCATATTTGCAGGCTGTAATGTTCCCCTTTATCTTAAGAAATAAAAGTTTGCTACAAATATTCAGTAATTTGTTTTATCTAATTCATAAAAGTTGGTTTTCACAGAAATAAGTGAAAAATAAAGCTTGGGTGTCAAAACTCATGATATGTTTTGAAAACACATTTTCAAAATGGAGAGCTGTAACTGAATTACAGGATGACTTCTTTTGCATAGACAGAAAAGATAAATAATTTAAAACATACTACTGACACCTAAGAAAGTTATCATTACAGCTGTTTACAGATTTGATATTATAAATAAGACCTCACAGTTCAATTATGAAAAATTACAAGGTGTTGATGTTTTCTTTGTAGATGGAGGATATAGCACAACAGGTTCTTTCTTTTTTTTTTTAAGTCTTAACCTCCTGGACAACTTTCAAATAGTTCAGAAATTTTTTTTCATTATCTCTGTCAGCTAATATATGTAGTAACTATGTTCAGTTGCTTCTAATGTTTATAAGCAACAGATTGTGTTCATGTCAGTATCATAAGGAAATACAAAGACTGTTTCCCAGTGTTTGGTTTCTTTCAGTGAAAGGACAGTCTTAAATGATACTTAAAAATAAAAGGCTTTGTATTTCGGGGAAAAGTTTTTCTTCCTAGTGACATTCAGGGGCTATGGGGTGTGCTAGAACATACCATAAGCAAAAACTCATTAGCTCCAGGGAACTCAACATTCTCAGAGGTATATCTTTATAAAAATACTTCCTTATGAGTCGAGTGTCCAACCTCAAGGAAACTCAGCAGGAATTGGATAATGCATGCTACTTTTCCACCTCTCCCAGCCTGGTGACTTTTTCGTTTTAAAGGCCTTAATTTTGCTCTGCAGCTTCTTACCAAAATTGCTTGGTTGTGACTATTGCTTGGTATGTTTTTGTGATGAACATAGTGGACTAGATTAAGCTACAGTTTAGTTAATGCCTGTCAATACTTATGCTTCTGTCAGTATGAAACACAAACCTTTCCATAGGGCACTTTGTTTCAAACTTGAGGTCAAATACAGGCATACTTCAGGAAAGACTGGAGAAAGTGGATCTGGATTTGGATTCTTTCCTGCCCATGTCACCTTGCCTGAATGAGTGAATGTGCCATCACTCTGAAAGTGCCAAATTCATATGTTCGCCTAGATTATACTTTAAAATAATACTTTATTACTTCTGAGTTCTTTGTTAGTATGCTGAGGACTTGAAATAACTGCTGTTTAACTTATTTATTCAGGTCATGTAATGTTTGCAGAAATAAAAATGGAGAATGGAAAATCAAAGGGCTGTGGAACAGTCAGATTTGACTCACCAGAATCTGCTGAAAAGGCCTGTAGGATAATGAACGGCATAAAAATCAGTGGCAGAGAAATTGATGTCCGCTTGGATCGCAATGCATAATTTAAAACTGTGTGTTCAGGAACATTCCTATGTCTGTTTAGCTTCTCTGTCTTAGTAAGTCATTTTTAGTAACATTGTATGCTTACAAAAGCTGTAAAAATGAACTTTTAAATCCCACCAGCCTTTAACAGTATAGTGTTTAATATACTGTGATACTTGTTAACTGAATCTTACTATGTTTGGTTTTTAAAGACAATTCGCCTGATTTTGTTGTTTTTTTAGAGCCACTGAGCACCTGCAGGTCCCTATAGACCAGGGATGCTTTGGATGTTCAGTGCCTTTGGAAAATTAGGCCAAGTGTCTCTAGTCATTCAGTTTAAATGAATGGTTATACTGTTTTTAATAAAATAAGCCATTTTCTCTGTTAATCTCCAGATTGCATAGTGGGATTTATTTAGTGTTTTCTGATCTTTTTTTTCCCTGCCAAATGTGTGTTTCAACATTGTAATGTAAGAAGTAGATGTCTTTTTCAGAATTTTGGTTTTATATGTGCATTGTAGTCATACTGTAATTCTTGACTCTAAAAGCAAGGGCTCCAATTAGGCTGTGATGTTTTTGTTCTACTTAATATTACTTTAATGACATGACTTAGTTCTGTATATAAGATTTAGAGACAATGGGAGTTTGGAGTCGGTTTTTTAAATTTTATTTTGACTAAATGAAGAAACTGATCTTTTTCTCCTGCTTTTATTTTTTTCATCAGCATAATCACTGATTAAAACTAGTTACCACAGACCCTTGTAGGATTGTTTCCTATGATGCCAAGTTCATATAAAATTGATAATACAGTAAATACTAAGTACAGGACAAAACAAATTGTTCCCAATTTTTTATCGATTTTCCAGCCATTCAGGTGAACTGCCAGAAAAACAAAACCAACAGAACAGATAAGAGAAATGGCTGTGTATGTCAGACCACTGCTGTTCACTTCTATGGGTCCTGATGTATTTATGAAGGCAGTTTTTATAAACCAGGGTATTCCCAAACAGAGCATATCAAATACATTGGATCCTACAACGTTAGACATAGCCATATCTCCATTTCCTGTAAAAGAAGAAATACAAATAAGTTGGCTTAATTGTATTGCATGAAATTGCCAAACTGTTTTGGAGGAACAGACTGCCAGCCCTCAGTTTCTCACAGAGCATCCTTTTCAGATTTTGCATTGGAAGAACTATAGTCACGATTCTACAGAACATGGGTACCACAACCATAAAAAGTCTCCCTAAATCACCAGCATCTGCACAGTTGCACTTAAAATCAAGCTAGACAGGCTATTATAAAGTCCAGTTATGTTTAAAATACAGACACTTAGAGTTGTGTTCCACAGTAAAGCTGTAATATGTAATCAACAACAAATAAACCGATCTATAATACTTCTCTGAAATACTCTGAGAAGTTTTTAGAGCCACAGCTTTTTCAGGTAAGCTGTTTATTATTTTTAGTAAACTTAAGCTTTAGAGTCTGGAGCACGGATTTTGATGTTAATTTTTGAATTTACCGAAATGGTGACTATAATTCTTTTTGTAGTACCTTTTAAACACATCCATTGGCATGAGCCTAAATACTAAAATATTTACCTTTTCGAGCCACCAGCACACTTGCAACTGTGTCTGGTACACTTGTTCCTGCTGCAAGTAATGTGAGACCCATGACTGACTCTGGGATTCCCAGTGTTTCCCCTGCAGTTGAGAAATAAGTGTAGAAAATGCAAGTGCGGTTTTAGTTAGGGCTCATCCACTGAAAGTACTTTGCACTTTGCTGGAGAAGGAATCAGTAATCATACCGTAATTTCATATGGAATGTATCAGCTAACTTAACTACATGTGAGGTGACTGAACCACAAAGCAGTTAAAACAAAGAGTAACAACAAATATCCTTTCCTTGTTCTTCAAGTCTGCAATGGCCAAGACAGTAGCAATTATATTTTTTTTTCTTGCAGATAAAGTAGAAGTTTAAATACCTGACAAATTACTACTCCTTTTTTTTCCCCCTAAATTTCTTGAAAATACCATAGTCTTACAGTTTTGGGCATCTCTTTGTTAGTGTTCAAAAGTCTCATGAAGCAATAACTTACTGTTTTTAATCCCCTCAGGGGGTGGGGAAAAAGCACAGGAATTTGCTTGGGGAGGACAGTCATTAAGATATTATGGGAATACTGTCTCAACTTACATGCCTTTACCATTTCACTCCAATTAGAAAGTGATTTGGGAGAATCAAAGTGCATAATTTTTATATGACTTGTAAGTACAAGTAACCCCTTAGAAGTGTGAGTTCCTTAAGGGAAATAGTCATTTAAATTAAAAGAAAAGTTTTAAACTCTTATTAGAAGGGCAGCTTGTTTTTCCCTAATCTCTGTTTTTCTTAGCCCTAAATGTCCTGTAACCATATTAATTTCTAACTCAAAATACAGGGATTCTTCAAAACTGTTCTAGCAGTTGTACCATTCAGAAGCATCAATATGCAGAAGTATTTGATGCCTCTAGTCAAGCTACAAAGTAATTATTTTTTCTTAAACATTTTTGTTCACTAAAAAGTATCTTAATATTTTTTATTGTTGAAATCTGAGTTCTTACATGAAATATTTTGACATATTTAATAAGAGCAGTTTTATTTAAATAAGAGGCAGTACACTAGGTCAGTCTTATTGCCTATGCTTGTCTATTACCAGCTTAGTCTAGAGCAGCCCTGTAAATTTATGTTTGAAACTGTTGATTTCAGAGGAACTAACATGATCCTGTTGCAGAATTTGTACTCTCTTTATCCTTCCATCACTTCTAATAGGTTTATAGGATGAGGGACCAACAAATCAACTTTTATAAACCATCCAGGCTGGAAAATAATGGTTCAAACCAAGGTGAAATATGAATGAACCAGCCTTATGTACCCAACATTAGTTTCTAGCCCTCTGAAGGTTATAAGACAGAATATAAACTCAGGAGAAGCTAATTTTTTCATTTTATTAGATAGATTTATCTTCTATTTAATGTGTAGTGGTTTATTTTCTGGCAACTGACCATTAAGACAGAAAAGTCTTATTTTTCTAGGCTTTTGTTAATTTTGTGTACTAGTAGCAATGTGTTGCTATAAGTAGTTGAATTTTCTTTGCCAGCAACAGAGAGGTACTAATTTAGGTTTCTTCTTGACCATCCCAGTTTAGTGCCCAGCTATGATACTTTTGTGACATTCTGATAGGCTGATTATGCAATGATAGAACTTTGAGTTCTCAACGTTCATGAGAGCCTGGACTTGAATATATTGTGTGTTTAACTTGTAGTGTTTTAACATGTGAATTGAATATAATTTACCTAGAAGTAGTGGGCCAAAGACCCCAGTACTACCTGTGATGACTCTTGAAAGTGAATAATACACTCTCTGAATCTCTACCATACCTACTTTCATATGAATTAATACTTAGTCTTGTAGAACAGCAATAATGTTGACTTGAATCCTATTTCAAAGGCTTCTAGCATCCAGACAGTGAACCCTTGTTCTCTGGGTACAATGGAAAATTATTTAACCAAGGGCTTAACATGGTGGGTTATAATGTCCAGCAATCTACTAGTAATTTCTCAAAGGTTTACTGAATGTGTAGGTCTGCTTCTGCACTGAACAAGCAGTTATTCATAACTGAACTAGTAGAATGCTTGAGTAGGATTAGTGAGCTATAATGTGAAAATGGCAAGCTTTGAAAAATTTCTGTAGAGATTTAGTTTTGTTTTCTGCTTGTTCTTAAATATAAAAGCTGGATGTCTTTTAAGCTGGCTGGAGAAAGAAACAATGAAATGAGAAGACCTTCAATACCTCAAAGTACTTTTAGGAGACGGTTTTTACATATAAGTTTCTACCCCTTCTCTCACTTAAAGGCAATCCTTGTAGTGCCCCACTTTAGGACGCAGATTTGTAAGAGGTCCACATATACACACTCTAAGAATAATTTAATAAACACATTTGAGACCTTTTTTGGTAGTTAATTTAATGCCAGATCTCTTACTATAACTTTTGTGAAAAACACAGGTATAAAAATTACAGATTTTTTCCCAAAAGCTTTGACCTATAATTCCAGTCTTAGGGGATTTCATGTTTGTCAGCCTTCAGCATGACAAGTTGATTGCTGTGTGTCTAATTGGTTTGCTTAATGAAGCAATTTAGTGAAACTCTGTTTTTAAAAATAGGGTTTTTTGTAGATGCATCAAGTTCTCATTCATGTAATGGTAAGCAGCTAAACTCTATAATATTCCATCATTGAATAGAAGAGGCTGGCAAACTAAGCAGTCAAACATAAGTTTCTGTTGTTGTGGTTTTTTTACAGCACAGTCTATTAAAGGGAAACCACACCACTTTTTCAGTGATTCTTGACTGGTATAGCAACACCACTTTAGGTACTTACCTGCTATTGTTACCATCCATACAAGAACATAAGTTATTGCAGAAATCCATGCTGCTGAAATTAAAAATGTCACCATGAACCAGTTCCTCCAAAACTGTCTTCTGCAATCTGGTATAGTTAAATAGAATAGTGTGATGATAGGAAGGGATAACACCCACAAAATTCTCTTAATATCTGCTTCAGGCATGGTGAAGACATTTGGATGATCTGTTGAAGAAAAAGTTAACTTCTAAATTGTAGCATTACATTTGAATCCATAGCATACAGTATAAATGTCCTCGTGAAAATATGAAAAAAGGTGAAAAATACTTCTTCCTCAAATTTCAGCTGTAGTATTACCCAGTACCTACATCTCCCTGGACAAAATTCTGAAATCAAGTTACTTCTGGGGAGATTCTGCTTGTACACAAGGAAAACATTTCTTCACAATGAGAATAATCACCAGTAAAATAATCCCCCCAGGAAGTGGTGATTCCCCAATGTTGGACAATTCTAAGATTCACCTGAACTGGAGCTGGCCCATCTGAGACCATGCCTTTGCCAGGAAAGGTTGGACCAGATGATGCTTGAGATCCCTTTCCAACCTACTATTCTGTGATTAAAATGTTTCTCATTACATCACCGGGGAGAACTAAGGTGGATGAAAAATTAATTTCTTTATAAGGGTTTGCTCATAGCATTTACCAAGAGTAAGTACCAACTGCTGTTTTTTGCCTAAGAGGAAAAATGATCTGTGACCACATCACAGCTATCCCTTTACTTTTGATATTATGCATATTTTGGGCTATGAACCTGCCACTGTCATAAGGAAACAGTGTGTATTGCTACAGTACCTGTGTGGCTTTCTGATGATAGTGAATTTTACAAGCAGTGTTGCTGAGAAGTCTCAAATACACCCAACAAAGACAAAAGTTCTGCTATGACACAAATGAGCAACTATCCTTGCATTCCTCTAGCAACTAACTTCATATGAAAAGCATCACCCTGATTTTGCTCAATGTTATATTCCAAGTTGGAATAATGATCTACTTAAATACTAGGCTGGAGTTTTTTTGTGAGCAAAATCTTAATACTATCTGAGAATCTGCTCTTGATAGAACTGATGCAGACAGGCATGTGGAGTGCTAGAGACAGCTGTAATAATACCTGTACCTTCAGAGATTTCATCGAGCCCATGTAAGCTTGTTGAAAGTTGAGAGTAGTCCAGCTCATCTTGAAAAATTCCGCTGTCTGTTCTTGACTGTTGACGAATTAGAGGTCCACTCTCGTCCCTCCATCCAACCAGTGGCTGCTGCTCCGCGTTCTCTTCCATAGCTTTTGTAAAACACGTACAGCAGGGACTGAATTTCTTCATGAGGTATTGGTTGATTTTAATGTCAAAACACAGTACTAGAATATAACACCCATATATCAATAATAGGGATGCACTTTCATACCTAGAATGAAAAACAAGTTTTATATGACATGTAGTATAAAAGAACTCAATTGTTGGCATAAGAAGAGAGAGAGAAAATTTGCATGAATAGCAAAAGGAGAACACACAAAAGCATCTATCTGCAATTGTATGGCTATTGTCATGGACGTTTGTGAGTGTCCCCATGTCTTTCAGCAGTTTGATTAACTCCCCTCCTCTGCAGAATCTTGTTTGTGTATTGTATAGCTGCATGTTTTTTCAGGGGATCTTACTGATTGAACATTTTCCTGATATTTGCAAAATTGAGTCTTCATGTGATGCTTAAATTATAAACTTCAAGGGACTTAATGCTGGACCTGACTGGTTAAGGTAACAGGAGTTTCGGTGTTGATGGAGGAGTTAAAACATCAGAAACTTATTATCTCCTTCTGGCAGACAAATGTTTTTCTGAACAATGCTGCTATGAAAGGAAAAGCTCAAAATGAGTAAATGCTGAACACTAATGGCTGTGTCAGAACAGTTGTGATAAAAATTGTGAAGTCTGTACAGACAAACCTATGCAGGTTGAACTTCATAAATATGCAGAGTTTGAATGTTTAGGTAATAATCTTTACAAGCATTATGACTTTTTAAGTTTTTTAAAGCCAACAGGATGTTTTCTGTTAGTGAACAGCAGTTCAGGCTACTTCAAGTTTGGGGCTTGGGGATTTTCGTTTGTTTTCAAAACACTGTCTCACAAATCTCCAGTCAACAGGAATTCAACACTACTTGTGCTCTTACCAGTAAATTCTGTTGTCAGATATCATCGCAAGGACCGCTGCTGCACTGATGGTGTATGCCAGACAGTCTCTGAACAGCGGCCAACAGGATAGCCTCGAAACCTGCAGATCAGTCATGTACTTTTCTTAAACCTCGCTGTAATACTTTCACTAAGTGCTGTAAATGCTGCATCAATATGTCGTTTCTATATTATGTAAAAATTAAAGATTCTTAGGAATGACTTAAGTATGATATTTAACAAGTTAGTGTTTTTAAAAACTTTCATAGCAACTTATCTTAAAACTGATTACATGCTGGTTTTGCTACTAAATAATAAACTTGGCAGTTGTCATAGTAAGTCTCTCTTGGCTTTTGTTGGATAACCATTTGACTCTTAGGAGCAGAATTATCAAAGCTGATACGTACCACACTGGAGAACAGCCCACAAGCTGCAGAAATACCAAGAAGATTATATATTGCTGATCCAAGGATGGTGCTGATGCCGATATCTCCCTTTGTCACAAAAGCTCCTGTAAGGAAAATGACTCTGGTATGTTTCAGTTTGGCATGCAAGGAAAATAAATTCTAAGTTATAAGGAGTCAAAACACATCTCTTACCTAGAAAAGCAGTGACAAGCTCTGGAGCAGAGCTTCCAGCAGCCATAAAAGTTGCTCCAGCTACATCCTGTGAGAGGCCAAGGCCTGAGGACAAAATGAAAAAAATTGCTTAAAAAACCTGATACCTCAGTAGCCTATACCCTTTACTCTCACTAGTAAATAATGTTAGCTACTACTGCAGTTTAGTAGATTAAAGTTTATTTTCATACAGTCAATGCATGTATATGAGATTCATAAAGTAATATATTGAAAATTAGCCTCATCTATTGGGCTAGTTTATTTCTAACTTAATTACAGAAATTAGTTTAAATCTCTTGTAAAATCAGCATTTGTATGTAGGATTTAACTGTATTTCCTATTGGAATAATTGTGGGGAAATTCCATGGACTGTAGTGTGATATTGTTATATGATCCATATCAAGTCTGTCTATCTTCCAGGGAAATCTGTACTACTGTGTCTTCACATACCGGAAACATTAGTTAAATTCAAACCAGTACTGTGATCTTAAAATCAAACTTTCATTTTGTATGGACAGGATAAGAGCCTATGTGTTGCTTAAGAGAAATTAGATTTTTGTTCTCGCAAATTGACTTTCTGGAATGTAACTCTGTGGATTGAGTCCTGCACACCAAGTACAGGGATGTATGACTGACCACGGCAAAAGTCTGACAAATGCTTATTTATCATCAATAAACAAAACACCAGCTCTTATGGCAGTGTATAAGCTTACATTTGCTGTAAGTGTTCTGATTTGGAGGAGGTTTTCCATTTCAGGGATGAGTTTCCCTAGGGAATTTTGTTAATTCTTGGCAGCAAAAATTTGAACTCCCTGCCAAGACCATCTCTACTTCAGTGGTCTGCTGAAGCCAGGGGAATTGTTGCAAGTTGATTAGATTTCTTAGAACTGTGGTAACCATAGAATTCCTGTCCCTCCTGTGTTATACCTTTAATATGTTAGCAGTAGCTCATCACTACTTCTAAAGAAAAACAAACCCTAGGAAGAGTTTTGGTTTCACACATCACCATCCCTCCTATTTTTTTTTTCTTTTACTAGTAGTTACCTGGACACAGTACTGTGCAACTCAAAGTTAAATTGTCAGTTTAGTTAATACTGAGGAATCTTAAGATTTTCCTCTAGGCAGAAAGAAAGCAAATATTAAATGAATACATGTGCAGTGTAATCACTAGTTTTTTTCAGTAAAATATTGATCCTGTGTATCAAATATTGTATGGACACATCTGTGCATGGAAAGTGAACTTATTCAATTTTCATTCAGAGCACTCTTAACTTTGAGGCTTTTCAAAAGAGAAAGTTTTATGCCAAGCTTCTCAGTTTTACAGGAAAAAGATCAGGATGTGACTTACATTCACTGATGATCTCTAGGGAAGGTAGGAAGTAATCATCGCACACAATGGACACGGCCAAAAACATGTACAGTATAATTATGAAGTAGATAACGATTCCTCCATCCTTCCTCTCCTGCGGTGTGAAAAATCCTTCAGGAAACTCCGATGAAGACGAGAGAACGCAACGCGTCCCGTTTTCTGAAAATTGAGTGCAAAAGTGTTACACATCCTGACATCCTCCCATTCCTCAGGCCCCGGCACGTCTGCGGATTCGCGCTCCGGTGGATTTCTCTCTTTAGCACGGCAAGGACCGCTGCAGCGACGCCACCAGAGCGCCGCGCACCTGCGGCGGGGCAGAGGCGCCCGCGGGACGGGCTGGCGGCGCTCGAGCGGACCCCGGTGCCCTCCCGGTGTCCCCGGTGTCCTCCCGGTGTCCCGGTGTCCCCGGTGCCCTCCCGGTGTCCCCGGTGCCCTCCCGGTGCCCCGTACCCGCGGGGTCCCCGGGGCGCTGCGCCCGCGCTCCCCAGGCCGCGAGCGCCGCCAGCAGCACCAGCGCCGCGCGCCGCCGCGCGCCCGCCCGCATGGCCCGGACTGTGCGCGGGCCCCGCGCGAGCGGCTCCGGCGCGAGCGTCACGTCGGGCCGCGCCCCCTCCGCCCCTCAGGGACTCGTCACATCCCGCAGGGGTCCCACCGCCCCCCAAATTCCACCGCCCCTCAGGGACTCGTCACATCCCGCAGGGGTCCCACCGCCCCCCAGATTCCACCGCCCCTCAGGGACTCGTCACATCCCGCAGGGGTCCCACCGCCCCCCAAATTCCACCGCCCCTCAGGGACTCGTCACATCCCGCAGGGGTCCCACCGCCCCCCAGATTCCACCGCCCCTCAGGGGCTCGTCACATCCCGCAGGGGTCCCACCGCCCCCCAAATTCCACCGCCCCTCAGGGACTCGTCACATCCCGCAGGGGTCCCACCGCCCCCCAGATTCCACCGCCCCCCAGATTCCACCGCCCCCCAAATTCCACCGCCCCTCAGGGGCTCGCTCCATCCACAGGGATCCCACCGCCCCCCAAATTCCACCGCCCCTCAGGGGCTCGCTCCATCCCTCGGGGGTCCCTCAGTGGCTCCTCACATCCCGCACGGTGCCACCGCCCCTCTCCGCGCCGGCAGCGAGGGGCCCGGGGCTCTGCGGGCAGCGCCTCCGAGCCCGAGCCGCGTCCGAGGGGCCCCGTCCTGCCCTGTGTTTGGGGGACAGTGAAGGTTTGGCCATGGTGTGTTCGGCCTTGGTGCAAGGTGCTGACCGCAATACCCAGGTGCTGTGTGATGTCTCGGGATGCAGAAGGTGAATTTAAACTTACTCCTCAATACCTTTTTTTTTTTTTTTTTTTCTGCTGTGACAATTTCTGCTTATTCGCACCGATTCCTAGGATTTCTGTGCCGGGCTGTGTGAGCACCGGGCTCGCCCTTCACCGGGGCAGAGGAGCAGATGGCCATGCCAGTTACAGGAATGGTTTGCAAGAGCAAAGCTGAGACCCACACATAGTTCCTCCCTTCAGACCAAGTCCACTGAACTCCTTTGTCTAGTGACCTTTTCACAATAAAGTCATGTGTATAACCGAAGATTAAAGAGTAAAATGCAGTCTTTAAGCTTTGTAAAGTCATCACCCCTGCCCCTTCTGCAGTCACTGGTTTCTCACAAAGAGAGTTGTTTCCCTTGTATCACTTGCAGACCTGTCCCCAGAAAAATTTGCAACCTCGTGATACCAAATGGAGTTTTGGGACGTCTGTTTTATTACTTGTTTGTGAGGTGCAAGGCTAATGCTCACATTTGTGAGCTAGAAGTGCAAACAGGAACAGATTGTTTTGCTTCATTGCATCTAATCCCTCTAAACTCCTCAAGTTCCTTGCATCCATGGTTTGGCTAATATGTGATCAACTCCACTCTACAATAGCAGAGATAAGGTGAAAAAGTGGGTATTTTCCCTTTGTATTGAATCAAACATAATCATACAACCACTATTATAGTATGCAATGAAAATAATTGCCTGGAACAACAAATTCTGCAGTAATTGCTGTTTCCCATTTCTGATCCCTCTATAGCCAAGACTGATTTTAATAGTCAAGATTTTTAGGTGTGTCAACTAACTTTCACAAATGAGTTCTGTGTACTCTCTGAAAATCAGACTGCTGCAGAGAAGATGCTGCTTCTCCTGCTTTACAGGAAAAAATAGATCATTTTGGTCTGGAAAGATTTAAGGATTTTCTTCTGAATCCCCCTTTCCACCAGAGAAAACAGTACAAAATTCCCTGTCTAAATAACTGGTGGCTCTTTCCTTACACAGGTCAACAGAAAGGGTTTTGTTATCAAGGTAAGTGGCTTCCTTGCCACTGCTTCTATTCCTTGAAATGTATCATTGGCTTACTTTTAAAACTCCAGCACAGTTTTTTAATATCAGCTGCTTCAGTTCAAAGTAGTTACTTTTTGCTGGTGTGCTTTTTTTAAAAATTGCTTTAAAGTACTTATAAGCCTGCCGTTCTGATGGGAATGAGCTCTGTGGTACAGCAAGATGTTTGCTGCATGGTTAGGAAAGCTCAGTCATGTGATTTCAGGATTTGAAGGTTTTGCTCTGCTCTGCTTTTACTCTGTGCTCAAGCTCTAATTCCTTTCTATGGTCATCCCCTCTCCATGCATAGCTGAAGCAAAGACAGAGCTTTGATTTTACTGAAGGTTTAAGTCCACTTAGTTTGCTGAGAAGTTACTGAGTGAGGGTGCTGCACTCGCACCCTCCTTGCCAAGAATAGCCCTGGAGGGAGCAACAAACAGAACCCCCTGTCCCCGGTATCCCAGCATGAGGAACCACGTGCTGCCTGTCTGGTGCTTGATCCAGCACAGAAATGTGCCAGAGGAGGCTTTGGCTCAGCATTGCTGGCTGCCAAGTCTGGGCTACTGCAGTGTGAGAGAGCATTCTGTGAAGCTGGGGTTGGTCAAATATTAGTGCAGATTCGATGTGTGCTTCTGCATTTTTTGGTTGCTATTAAGATAAATTTCTACTCTCTGGTAGTAAAAATAATGAATAAATACATTTTTCAGAGCTTCTGAAGGAGAGAGATGGGCAACTGTTTGCTAGTCAGGTTGATAAAACTAATGCTCCACCTGGGACGTGCTGAAAGGCTGCTATGGCTCCCTGAGCACAGGCCTCAGAAAGGGTAAGGGAGCATCAAACTACAGCAGCTGCAGCTCCTTTCCCAGTGATCATAATCTGATGTGAACTGGCTACAATGCATCTGAATGTCCCACACAGCTGAGGACAGGGAGCTGGTTTGCTGCCCAACAAAGCAAAAGGAGGTTGGGCTGTCTAGAGCTGTGACTCCAGCTGAGTCACAAATGTTATTCCTATGGTGCAATTTAGGGCACAGATTCCCACCTGTGTAAATGTTAATTGGGATCAGCTGTTGTACCTCCACAGAACAGGTACTCATGTTCTTATGAGGAGAGTGGGACTTCAGTACAAGACCAAGGAGCTTTTCTATAAGCAGTGAGCTTGTTTAGGATTGTTTGGAAGTTTCTTTCTTCTACTTTCTTCACAATTTGAGCAGACAGACTATGGATAATGAGGGGAAAAAAGCAGGTGAGTTTATCAGAACTTAAGGGAAGCATTAGTCCTTGTTGGTAGGATCAGCCCTTAGATAAAAAGGATAAGGGGATGGCATGATGAATTCATAACTAGCTTAAAATAACAACAAAAAATGCATTTTTTGTGTGGTGTGGGGTCCAGTCTTTTTGGGAGAAGGAAAGGGTGGTATAGATTCTTGAAGGAATCTGTGGTTAACTCAGGTATAGGTGATCACATCTGTGTAGGAATCCTGAGTTTCTCTGGCCTCCTTAATTATAAACACATTTCCAATCTTTTCTATAACTCAAGGTGCAACCTACTGTTTTAATCACAGTGATTTAAACAGATCAGTGTCTGCATCATCCTTGCCTTGTAGATTTGGTTTTTGGGATTTGTTTGGGGTTTGGGGTTTTTTTTTTTTTTTGGTAGAGGTCTGTAAGAATACTCTGTTCTGAGTTTGGATGAGGGTGCTCAGACAGCCCCAGGACTGATATGAGGGCAGCTTGGTGTTAGCTATCCCTCAGTGTTCTGGCTCCTGCCCCAGGATGTAGAGCCTGTGCACAGCTGTGCTTTTCTTGTGTGACAGCCTGTGCATGTACACACCACTTATGCTCCCAGTCACAAGGCCTGGGAAACAAAGTAAGTGAAGATATTTTTATGCTCAAAATGTACCCCAAACCGCAATATGGTTGTGAGAATCTGGTGGTATCCCCATTTGACAGAAAAGAATTTGAGGATGAGCAGGGCACTGACTGCCTGGCCTACTACTGCAGTAGGGAGGCTGCAATAGGGCTGTTCAGAAGGTCAATTTCCAACTCCTTTCTTCTGTTTGTGTAGCTCCTCTGGCATCTCTGGAGTGTAAAATGCTGGCCTTTAAAAGAGCTGATAGAATAAATTCTCTGACCCTGAGGTACTCAGATACCATCCTAAGGTGATGAGATAAATCCTATTGCAAAATTAAAATGAGTCTCTTCAGTGTAACTCCATTATTCTTCATTTAAAAGATAAATATACTGTCATTGTCAGATCAGATATCCCCCTTTGTCAGCATTTCATGGCTCACTTCCTGGGTCTAGATAGATTGATGATAGCTGTTTAATATTCTTTCCTTCATAACCACCAATTTGAGAGTTGCCAACTCTCATGATGGCTGTTGTTTTTCTTAAAGCATCAGCTTGATTTACATTAGCCACACAAGAATCATTCCTTTCTCTGTTTTTCAAAAGAGTAGTTGTAAAGAAAGTTTGAAAATGGGAATCTGAGCATCTAATGCTGGAGGCAAATAAGCACTATTTTCAAGCTAATCTCATGATTTAAGAAAGCGGTGATAGGTTCATTCATGGTTTTAGAACAAGGTCAAAGGGAAAGATTTGATTTCTGACCCTTAGCTCCAAGATCCAAATGCTCTTGCTGGGAATATCTCAAGACCAGTGGAAGATACAACTCAACAGCAATCCCTGGTGACAACCAGGAAAGCTGCTGAGCTGAGGAATGTTTTGTGGTGGTTGGTGTGAATCAAATTTATTTTAGGTCTCCTTGCCTTTGTGTTCTGATCTTGTACATGTGATGAATAGTTTTGTTGATTCTAAGCTGTGAAGTTGTGAACACTGTATTTTTTAGGTGGTCCATAATTAGACTACTGTGTTATTTGTATGTGAGCTAAGTGCAGGGAGCTTCCAGCAGTAGTGCTGTCTGCCTGCTTTCCGCAGAATGTGAACAACATGGATATTTTTGGCATGTGGCCCATGGAAGCATTCAGGTGACATAATCAAGGGAGGTAGGTGAGGGTGGGGAGCTGTTGAGATTGTTTTTCTGTGGAGATTGCAGTTGTGGAATATTTTTCATGTGTGCTGTGGAGTACAGGCATCATGTGTGACAGTGTGGCTCACAGATAAAGGTGTATTTTATGGGTACCCTCAATGTCAAAAAACCTAAAAACATCTTAGCAGAATGTTTTTGCTTGGTGGTTCTCAAGTGAATTCAAGTTCAAGGGAATGCCTGCTTAAATGAGGGTGTACTATTTTTAGTTGAAGAAAATTGAATCTGTTCATTTTGGTGCCTGGGGATTTCTATTTTTTCCAGCAATTCAAGTTTATAAAATTGCACCTTCCATCTTGAGGCCTAAAGACCTCTATCACTTCATCTGCTGCCAGTGTGGTAAAGTTCTACAGCAGTTCTCATAGTCTTAGCTTGCTCACCGGGTGGTTTGTTCATCCATTTAAGACATGGAAGGAATCCCTCAAACTGAAAATGAAACATGTCTCAGATTAATTGTTTTTGAGATTTAAGTTAGAACTTTTCCAGTATTATTTGACTGCTCCTCCATGTTAACTGTTTTCTTTTGGTTACAAGTTCTCATTAAGAAAATTGGAATGTATTGTGAATGTTAGTGTTTGTGATATCATGAAAATGAATGGTTTCATCATAAAACTAATGATGGTTAACTAGCTTGATCACAACAGAAAATCTTGCCACAAAGGCTTGCTACACTTATATATAAATACCTATGTTTACCAAGAGAGTAGGGCTATTGCTAGACAGTAATAATCTGTAGAGAAGCTTCTTTATAAAGCTCTTGTTTTGTGTCTAAATAGTGTCTTTAGAACATCTTAAGGCTGTGAAGCTTGGAAGATTGCACACAGTCTAAAAAGATTTTAAATAGAGCCAGCCTGCTTCAAGCACTTAAGTCAGGTGTTTGAATGCAGGATGGCCAAAGAATGGAGCAAAATGATGAGGCTTGTGAGGGGCATCCAATAGATAATAGTAATATTGCACCATGATCACTTCAGGTTGCTCTGTTCTATCCCTCCAGCAGTTTATGAATAGCCCAAATACACATTCACTTCTATTTCTACACTGCTATGCCAGGGGGTCAGGTAAATATGCCACAACACATAAATGGGAGTAGATACTGGCAATGAGTGTGTAATGGATTTCTTTGCTAGCATCTTGGGTGGGTTTTTCCTTGACTGGTGTTTTATTTTCCTCCCCTCCCTCAACTATTGGAAGTCTTGCTTCTGTAGACAAAAGAAAAACAGAGCAGAAAACTCCTTCCTTGCCTGCAATTTCTAAGCTTCTGTTTTCTGCCAGTTGTGTGCACCAAGGAGTTCTGGTCTCTCAGTGACTTGCTTCCACTTGCTTTCCTTCCTCTTCCTGTTGGGACAA